GAGGCTGGTTGGCGTAAATCTTGCTTTTCAGATAACCCCACAAAAAGAAGTCCGGGGGGGGGTTCAAATAGGTGATCAGTCAGATTTTGTCCGATATGCACGATGAGTTAACACAATGAAACGACTGTTTTCGATGTAAAGTGTCATCCCAGGCAAAATTTGTACTGAATTGACGATTCCAAAACATATCTGATGCAATCGCTCGGTTGGTAAATGTGAAAGTTTTTCAGCGTTTACATACCGGCATAAAAGATGGAGCACCCTGTACAATGTAGTACTTCTTGTCGAACAACTGGCAAATATGGATGTGCTGCATCCAATTGGTGCAGAATTGCTCGGAAAAGCTAGCATTTTGATAAAGGGCTACCAATTTTGCGGTTTCGAAAATAAATGTTAATAAAATGTAATTTAAATTATCACTTTTTCATGAAATTCGCGTTGCGTTATATGAGATGTAACAATTAAGTAATGAGACTATTGATATTGCTGCGATTGTGGTAATCTTGCCACCTTCAAATTTGCTTTCTTGCCTCCCATCTCCATTGATATATTTGGCATCGCTCAAGCTTGTTTAGTTCGCCTGCCCTTTCGTGTTGAGTAATTGTGCATATTTCTTTGTGTATCTCAGATGATTATTTAATATTCGCGATACAGCCATGGCTTTCAAGAATAATTCATTTGAAATCATTTCTTATGACAATCGTCAATTTCGGACTCCACCATAGCTACAGTGACGTTATCAGTAGAAGATTACGGTCGACCTTTTCGGGGCTCGTCCTTTACGGAAAAATATCCGGTCTGAAATCTTCTAACGCACTTAGAAATAATCTTTACAGACGGCTGATATGGAACGATTTATATGCAATTTGGCACTGAATATTTGTATGGGTTGTAAGCTACGCCGAAAACTGAAGAGAATCAAATCGCGAATTTCTGTTTGCGTTGCTGGTGGAATTTCGTCTGACCTACCCTCAGCTATCTTGCGTTTTCTCGTCTCCATTTCAACCGATCGTTCTAATATTTGAAAGGCAGACTAATAAAGTGATTGCAAAGTATTTGGTATTTATAGATTTAACGATAACAAATTAAAAGTCACCAACAGACCGAACTTTTGTTAGTTCTTTCGTACATTTATTTACTCGAATTGCTGCCAATTTTTTTCTTAAACTGGGTTATATAATGGGTGTGTCACACTTTTCCAACCGACCTCAGTAATTTTTTTCCTGGTAATACAAAATGTATGTGATCTGGTGGTGTCATTATGAAACAGGACTTAGTGATCAGTTCTGAACTCTGGTAATTTGCTAACAAAGCTGCTTAAATTTAAGGAATGGAATCAAACATTCCTGTCTGACATTCGTTTACATGAACCTCATGAACAAAACTGTTTTCACATAATATGTTGCTTGAAATGACAGTTTCCAAGCGAATGCTTGTTTGATACTATAGGATTAGTTTTGCTCGATATGAGGAAGCAAACATCATCTAGTTGTCAGATCTTTGAGGAAGTCTAAATTAATCTAACTAAATATTTTGATTTTGCTTAAAAACATATTCAATGCAATTACATTCTAAAATTACCTTTTTAGTTAATTTATTGTTAACGATTTTCGTGACTCGTAATCGTCAACAATTTAATTTACGAAAACAACTGGCATTTATGTCATTTTCATTCTCAATTACAGAGTATAGAGAAATTGTTCGAAATATGTACAACAAGATAAATGTCATTGATGTGCGAAATGATATTTTCTAATTGCAATAATCCCAGATATTTTCAATGGGTTGAAACCTTAAAAGCATCTGCTAATGGTCCGAGTACACACACTCACATAAGTGAGTACATTACTCACACAATTTTGCCCACACAGCCATTATTAATATTTCCAACACTAACAAAGCTGTGAAATTCTTCTCAACCACACAATGCGTTGCCCCTGACCACCGTTGCGTATACGCAACTATTCTACTATTCACTTGTAGTGCATGAATTGTTGTTACTGCTGCAAGCACAGCAGTGAAATGCTCAGAGTTGCTCTTTTATGCGCTGTTCTACTTTCAATTTCATTACTTTCACACAAAATTCGGGTTACTGCATTGTCTGCAAGTTACTCAATAAACGGCAAACGAACGAGCGAACAAACGAACAAACGACCAAAGTGTGCGTTATCAAAGTGAGGGTGTGAAGGCATAGGTGTTCGTGTGTGTGTGTGTGGGTGTTGTGCAAGAAAGTGAAGTGAAAACTTTTCGACATTGTCGGTAATTGCACTTTAGACTCTACTCTTTGTGGCATTGATGCCGCTGCTGCCTTACTAGCTTTTGCTCCCCTTCTCCCACTAGATTTTTATTTACAATTCTCACTATGAGCCTTTCAGCATCTCCGGCCATTTAAAGCGTGACGGTCGTTGATATAATATAAAAACATGGAAAATTCATTGTGAACAGTATAGTCATTTGAAAGAAGTAATTTGGAGATGAAAAAAAGCAAAAAAAAAAGCAGAAAAAAAAGAAAATCAAAAACTCTTCTCTCAGTCACTTTACCTTGACTTGAGCGTTCGCTAAAACATTGCAAGTAAAGTTTAAAATTAATTTGTACACAATTTTAACACTAAACTTGCTTGTTTATATAGTTAAATATATATGTGTGCAGACAGAACATATGCTCTTCTTGATAACTTGTGACAGTGTGAATCGTTATCAAGTCATTTACTTTGAAAAAGATTTAGTTTGTTTTGTAAAGAACTTTTTTCCTCTGCTTTTTCGTGTGTAAGGAGTGCATTCTGTTGAACCATATTTTAAGTAAGTTATTGTAGTTGTTTTGAAACTAACAACTCCTTGTTGACTTTTATTAAGCAAGCGTTTGCCTTGTTGGAATTTTCAAAAATGCGAAAAATTAATTTTATCAATTGAGAAATTGCTTTATTACTGATTTTGTCCAATTATGCATACACCTTATATACGTATAGTAGGTCTAGTACATAGTAGGTTTCATTCAAGCTGTGGTAGTTGCGGTTGAAGTGAAATACGGCTCTCAATGGCATTTTTGTGCCCGAGTCTTTAGCCTCTCACCCATCAAGGCCATTAAAGCGCCATCAAGAATCGCATTTCTAAAGAACAGATTCTACTTCTTCTTGATCTACAATAAACCATGAAGCTGTCGAACATATCATTGCCGCCGAATCCATAGTGCCATGTGCTGCAATACCCATTGGTTGCTTGCAGTTGGAAGAGTCTGACTGTAGACGAATGTAGCCTGGCGGATACCAGTTCACCTTCGGGAGTAACAATTACTTGCTGCGTGACTGGGCGCTATCTCAGTCAACCCTTCTTTGCCTTAAGGTATCAAATCAGTAGGAGTTCAAGCCAGGGGTATAATTGTCACCAAACGACATGACCATATATAACCTTGCTCACCGGGAGTATCATCGACGGTCAAAACAAACCTGCCCAGAGGGTAAGCACATCCCTGCGGGGATATCCAAAAGTTCCCGCGGCAGTCATTTCCTTACATTGAAAAGACCCGGACTTTTATTTGGCCGATCGCAACAGTCTCGCGGCTACAATAATAACAACAACAACAACTATAAACATAACAGGGTTCACAGCATAGCAAACACTCAGACTAAGACTCACGTACTGGGAGGTTATAGTCTACGCTGACGGTATCACCCTCATAGCGACTGACAAACATCTCCAAGTTCTAGTCTATCTATGCTTAAAAGCTCATTATGTAGTAAGAAATTTGGGCAGAGTTTATGGTCCGGACATAAGTGGCTCATGGACCCAATTGATACTCTTCACCAAATTGGGACTAAGTTATTGGCTATCCAACACGGCAATAAGACCCAAACTATTTTCCGGATGCAATATTTGGTGGCCTGCACTAGGCAAAGCTAACTACAGGTGCAGGCTATACAAAGTTTGGCGGAAAGGATCCATACTCACTACAAAAGCACTGCCTTCAACTTCCGCGAAATTCACTTTAAATTCTTCGTAGTTTTATCCCAACAGACCTATTTGAAAAATTGTAGGTGATCTGCAACGTCATAAGTCTAAAGGCGATTCAATAATGTGGGAATCCATACAGGGCACGGAAAAACATTGAATTATATCCTATTTGCGGAAGAGTTGGGCTACATCATTTTTGTATTCTGTGTTGAGAACACTTTATCGTAAAAATTCCAGAGAGGAAAGAGAGTTTCGGATGTTTCAAAACTCGATGTAACCATGGAATTTCTGATTGAAAGTAGCTGCAGTAATGAAATCCGTTTTGTGGCTACTCAACTCTAGATCTGACCATTGAACGATGAAAACATAATTAAGTCTCTATTTCTTCTAAACACAAACTCCACGAGCAGCCAAATTGGCCGGACACGGTTTGATGAGCAGTCATGTTAGAAGGTTTGGTTACTTCTCTAATCACTTCTGTCACGGTTGCAGAGACATTGACCATGAGGAGTCCATTTCAGCCAAACATTCCAAAAATTAAAGGCAGGACTATTAAAATAATTGCAAAAGGTTGGAATCCTCTCGTAAGTTACGGTAGATCCCAAAAGAGGAAAAGCTCACATTGTTAAAATCACCATTTACGTCAATAAATGGAGCAAATGTAAATATAAATGGATCTTTCATTTGCCACGGCTACTTCATCCAGAACGGTTTGATCCAATCGTCATAGATCCTACCCATACTCTTTAGAAAGGATATTAGATTGATTGGTCTATATTTCGGTATCGAGTAATTATGTCATCATACTGAAACCAATTTTATATACTTTTAAGGAAATATTTATTAAAAGAATTATTATTGAAAAAATACAAAAAAAAAAAGAAACAAAAAAAAAATGTGCCACAACTGCGCTTCAAACCAATTTGCCATAGGAGCTTTTCTGTATAACCATAATGCCAGATCTAGTACGAGGTTGTTCACTAACTCACACAGTTTTATAGATTTGTTTATGTTTCTCTTGCAAGTTAGATTTATTAAATTAAATTACTCACCACAGGATTCGAACCCATTTTAACATTCTTTGCCATATCCATCATATCCAAGGCCAAGCGGGCAATGCATTTGGCATGATCCTCACAGTGATCGGGCAGACCAGAAACAGCCATATACTTGTCGCCAACAGTCTCCACCTGAGAATGAGAGAACAAAAGTTGATTGCCAAAACCGCATGCTATACGAGTAAGTATAAAACAATAGTTTCAAATATTTATGCCAAAAAGTTGTTAACTTTACAAAGTAAATGTTTCTACAAATTTATGAGTACATTTCAACGACGAGCTTTTCCCCGATAACTTTACACAAGCAAATATACGTATATGTGTATTTTATGAGTGTAAAATTTCGAGATTTTTTAAGAAGTTTATACCAACCAAAAGGAGTATACAATTACACATACACACATAAATATGTTACATACACTTGAAGAATATAAAATCGAGTGCATACAAAAGCGCAATTATTTTATGGCTGCCGTTAATGGTCGTGTGCACACCACAAATGCTTCTTGTAATGAATGCATTTTATATATAAATATATATGTATATGTAAATTTGTATGTACATATGCACTTACATAAGTACATAGTTGTAATTATTTATACACTAGTATATGCTCATACACATAACTGTGCATTCACTGCCGCCTACTAATTTATACACATACATACTTATAAGCGTAGCGTGTGCTTTCATTTATAAAGTTGGCATACAGTATGACTACAAGTATGTATATATTGTATGTATGTATACAGGAACTTAAACTTATAATATAGCTTAAATTTTTCTTAAAAATATTTACATTGTTATATACATGACCCTGACAAATGACCCAGATTTTTGTTTTTGGAAAAAGTTTAATTTGGCATCAACTCCTATAATTTTTGCACAGCAGCACTTGGTTAGTAAGTCATTGAGCAAGTTCGCCAACAAGTCAGTAATACAGTTACTCGGTCAAGTGGGTGCTGCGACAAAAATAAAGATAAAAAAATAAAAGAGGAAAACTACCGAGAAGTTTAAAATTGCTTAAATGGCGAAAAAGGGTAAAATGCTTTTGTAGAATAAGGATGTAGAGGATTTGTGCGCGTATATGCGTTGTCGTAATAGGAAGCATGTATGTCCGTCTTCAAGTTGCTTTGGGGTTGTCTACAAATGTGTGGTCAAACAGTTACAACGAAAGCAAATCTAAAATTAATGTCTGGCATTTTATTTTATCTCATTTAGAATTTTTTTTTTTATTATAATTTGTCTTATTTTATTTTATTTTTTTTATTTCATTTAATTCGATTTATTTTATTTTATTCATATTTGGAGTTTTTATTTTTTTATTAAAATTTGTTTTATTACATTTTATTTTATTTTCTTTTTTTTGTATTTTATTTTATTTCATTTTATTTTATTTTATTTTATTTTATTTTATTTTTTTTTATTTTATTTTATTTTATTTTATTTTATTTTATTTTATTTTATTTTATTTTGATTGATTGACTCAGTACGTTGTGAGCGCTCGTCAACAACAAAGAGAAAATTCGTTAAATTTTACAATTTTTCTTCGATCAAGGCGAAAAAGCAGCCAAAGCGGCTGGAAAAATTAATTTAGTTTATGGGTCCGACACTGTAAACGAATGTGTAGCACAAAACTGGTTTGCTAGGTTCCGTTCCGGTAACTTCGATGTCAAAGATACACCAGGTTTTTCTGTGTCTTTGGTGGGATCAGTAAGGAATCAACTACTACGAGCTGCTACCCTATGGCCAAACGCTTAATTTGGACCTCTACCGCCAAAAACTGGACCCGCTTGAAGGCAGCACTCATCCATCGTTTAATCACAGAGGCCGAATAGTGTTCCATCAGGACAACGCCAGGCCACTCACGTCTTTAGTGACGCGCCAGAAGCTCCAGAAGCTTGGATGGGAGGTCCTAATACACCCACCTTATAGTCCGGACCTGGCACCAAGTGACTACCATCTTTTTCTGTCCATGGGCATCGCGCTTAATGGTGAGAAATTGGCCTCAAGAGAGGCCTGTGAAAACTAGCACTCCGAGTTTTTTACCAATAGGGACGCAGCCTTCTACGAAAGGGGTATAATAAAGTTTGTATCTAATTGGCAACAAGTTTACAAAGAAAACGGCGCATATTTGACTTAAAGCGGACAAACGTACACAAAGTTATCATATTTTGAAAAATCAATAAAAAAAAAACCGAACGAACTTTTTGCTGGACCAATATAATATTATATACCGACATCAGTGAAACCTCTGACAAGGTATGTTACTTGTTGGTAATCAAGTCTTGGTCTGTACTGTTGTAGTTGCAAGTGGGATGTATTAACAGGTTTTCTATTTTTTATTATTCAGTGTGTTAGCTCCTCTTAACTATCCTGTTTTTCGTGCATGCATTTCCTCTGTGACAACTGCATTGCTTAAATGAGCCATGCCTTTGTAGGGTGCGCCCTTCCATGACTGCAAACGAAATTTACCAACGACTAAATTTATTTTGTATGTACAACTACTACCACTTCCTGAAAGTGTGGCAATGTGTTTAAGCACATTTCTGCTTTCCTGCAGCGCAGACCTACTTAACAGTTGGTTGAAGTGCTGCTGCTTTTTCGGGGGAAATTGAGTGCTCTCTCGGGCGGCAATATTCACACCAGCGCAAACAAAGTGAGTTTACGCCAAAAACATGTGTATAATATCTACATGGATACGTATGTATGATGCGTTTATATGTTATTACTTTTTTTTTTTTCTTCACATTGTGTTTTCTTTCTTATTATCACTAATTCACTCAAGTATTTCGTTTCGTTCGAGTGAGGTATTTGGATGCACAAGCAATTTTGCCACTATATACAGATATATATATATATGTACATACGTCGTGAGGTGAGCACTTGCTTGCACTTGGCTTGGCTGGTTGTGGAAAATTTTGGGGCTGACACGCTGTTGGTTTACTGTCTTTAATTTTGCTGTCGGTGGAAAATGTTTGCACATTAGTTAGTGAGTTAGGAGCGTAAGTATAAATGATTATTTGCTGGGTTAAAAAAAAGTCTTTGAAAGTCGCGAATACTTTTTGAATGCATATAAATTTGAACCATATGTTCTATGGACGAGAGTAATACTGAGAGTGTACTCCTCCACAGAGGGATACTATCAACACGGATTTTCAATGAATCTCGAACGCGCCGCATGCATCTAAAAAGCTAGATGAGGTCTCAAGGGACTCTGTTTCTTGACAAAAACTTTTACCATCTTAGGCGATGATCGATCGACACCGTCACTGATGATCGTGCATAGATGCGGGACCGTTAAGCTCTTTTGTAATGGGGTGTAGTCATGGTTTAGAGTATGCAGCTACCGTGTGCTAACTTAAACCTCCTTGCCAAGAGAGAGACCTCACTTTCAATCACGATCGTTGAACACGCATTAGGACTAAGATTATGTGACTCTCCAGCTGATTGATAGCCTCATAACTTTCATCATTCTAATATTCGCTACAGCGGCCTTATAAAGGAGGTTCGGATTCATGGTGGGAAAATGCTCCGTTACCGTGTATTAAAATTCACCCCGGTGGATGACCGTCTCACCTCATTCCGCATCAAAGTGAGATTTTTTAAGGATGCCTGGAGCGTACTCACACCATGATGTAAAAATTATGCTTGGCGTTTTGAACGCCACGATGTCCGAAAATTCAGTCCAGGACAAGACATTCCTAAATAATTTGAAATTGATCGACTTCGTCTGGCTAGAAATATCGTAGCACTAGATTCCAGCACCAGGTTTTCATCTAGTTACTTGACGGTCTCCATATCGAAAAACTTAAAACCAGATCAATGATGTTATAATAGAGTTCTTGACGTTCCTACGCCACGAGAGTCGAACATCGACTCGGACCACCATCTTGTATCAGAAAGGATTCGCCTGATTGAAACAAATACAAAACTTCAATAAGCCTCCTAAATATCGCATGCAAGGATCTATCGAGCGCTTAGTGTGAAAGACAGTATCCCACCATCAACAAACTGATTAGACCTGGAAATTTGCCCATTGCACCCAGGAAAAGATGACTGACATATACCACCCCTTCGTTTATTTTAAAGCAGTCTTCGGCGTTACGAAAAGGAGCTCTGGCTCCACGCCGCTATGTCTGAATTTCGTATTTCCGCAAAACTTATACGGCAATGTGAACTTGCGTTAAGCAACAGTAAAGATTCCGTCAGGATCGGGAAGAACCTTTCCGAGCCGTTTGATACCAAACGAGTTTTCAGACAGGGAGATTTCTTATCGTGAGGCTTTTACTTAATTTATTACTGGAGAGAAGGAAGCGAAGAATATGGGTCTGGTATTGAACGAGGGCTGGACGAAATATCTCCTGCCATCGCACAAACAGTCATTGCATTCCCCAATCGGCTCCCACGTCACTGTTGACAACATAACTTTGAAGTCGCAGATAATTTCGTCTATCTAGAAACCAGCGTCAACACCAATAAAAATGTCAGTCTTGAAATCCAAAGCTGAACAGCATATACTTTGGTCTGAGTAGGCAAATGAAAAGTAAAGTTATCTCCCGACGAACGGAAACCAAACTTTACAAGTCCCTCATCGTTACCGTCTTCCTATATGCTGCGGAGGCATGCGCTGATGACAACATCTAATGAGTCGGCATTAAAAGTTTACGGGGGAAAGGTTTTGAGTGAGACTTATGGTTCTGGGATTGTCGAATACCGCAGCCGATGGAAAGGTGTGCTGTGTAGACATAAGTCAGCGAAAAAAAAAAAAAAATGGCTACGCTGGCAATGTGGTCTGGATGGATGCGAATACTGCAGCTTTGAAAGTTTTGAATGCAGTACCCCACAATGGAAGCAGGGAGGAGGAAGACCTCCACTCCGTTGGAAAGACCAGGTAGATAAGTACCTGGCTCTACTAGGTTTTCCAATTGGCGGCAAACAGCGAAATGAGGAAACGAATGGCCAAACGATGTTAACACGGCTATTTTCGCGTAAGCGGTGTCTACGCCAGTACTGAAGAAGACAAAATATTCCTAAACTGTGTCTACTAATATAATAATAATATTTTTTATAGCGAAATATTTAAGCACTTTATTAGCTCATAAAGACTCACCTTGTACACATTTGGGTTTCGCTTCGAATCGGTTAGCGCATCAAAGACGGTATACAATTCATTCAGCATTTTTACAATTTTCATAGCGCCCTCCGCGTCCGTATTCTCAGCGCAATATTTGCCGAAACCAACAATGCCGGAAAACATCAACGTAACCGAATCATAACTGCGGCATTAAAAGCAAAAGAGATAATTAAAATGTAAATGCCGTTAATTAAAATAAAATAAAATAAAATAAATTAAAATAAAAGCACAAACATAAATTTTTTATGTTCAACAATTGAGGTGGGCAAAAAGTAATTATTTACCGTTTAGGCGGCACTGGGCGTTGATGTCGCAACTCATTGGCCACCGATTTGGGCAGCACCGAGTAGAGCAGCCTGGAAAGCAGGAAATAATTTATGTTAGCACATAATGACATTCAAATAAATAAAACAAAAAACAATGCAAATTTTTCACAATACACATAAATTTCATGATAAAAAAAAATATATACAAACATATATAGGGTTATAACTGTGGTTTCGAAATTTCATAAAAAAAAATAAATTAAATGAATTAAAATTTAGTTTAAGCCTTGGCATTATATGTGCCACCATTCAAAGGACCACCTCGCGAATTTTTGCAAACCTCGTTCCGTTTGAGATACCTTTGGACCCCTTTTTGGTACATATTGTTCGGTAACTCAGCAATAACTGGACGAATATTGGTTTTCTAGTCTTCGAGAGTTAAAATTTGATTCATGAAATCAGACCTTTCACTTAGCTTCACAAAAAAAGTCCAACGGTGTCAAGTTACAAAATCTTGGTGGCCAATTGATATCGCCAAGAGAAGGGATTACGCGGTCGAAGAATTTCTCTCGTAATAAAGCCAAATGCACTGGTGGTGTTTGGCATGTGATACCATATTGTTGAAGCTATCGAAGCTAAAGAACAAAACACATTTTCAAATCTTAGACTAGATGAACGGCGCTACAGCATCAAAAGCGACGAAAGACTTCTATGTATTGCTCGCTGGCAGAGAGGAAGGAATAATAGTGAAAAAGGAAGATGGACCCACCGTTTGATCCCAAACCTTGCGGTATGGCTAGGCAGGAAGCACGCCGAAGTAGACTTCTATTTAACGCAAGTGCTTAGCGGTCATGGATGCTTTAAAAGCTATCTGCACCGCTTTGGCCAGGAAGCGGATCCATACTGCGAATTTTGCGGCCCAGATTTTATAGAAGACGCCGAGCACACAATATTCGTCTGCAGGCGATTCGCGGGGCAGCGGCGAAGGCTGATCGGGTCTCTAGGCACCGACTTGATGCCAGAAACTCTCGTTAAATGCATGCTGGAAATGAAAATGCCTGGAACAGCAGAGGCAAAGGCGCGATAACAGCGCACCAGCGACTGACACTAATGTGGACCAGGTAACATACGAACTAGATCCATAGTGACGAGCACTGAAACCGAGACGGTTGAAAAATACTGACGAATAACTATATCGACCCAGACTATTGAGCTAATAGCTCCAACGGATTCCTGACGAAATACTGAAAGGTAGTACCAGGGGTTACCGTACGGGTGAGGTGGTTTTAGTGGGTTAAAGTCTCACACTGGCGGGGTTAAGGCTATCGATGGTTTCCATCTCAACAAAAAAAAAATATATATATATATTGTACAAGTCGTGCTCTTCAATTGCAGGCCAAAATACCGGTTATGAGACGACCACAACGGTCCCCATTGAGACAGTGTCACTCTTGTCGTTTTTGCTTTCAAAGAAGTAAGGTCCAATCTCGCCCCTGGATACCAAAGAGCGCACCAGACGGTGCGAGTTTTTTTGGGTTTAATGGCCTTTATTCAATTAAAAGAATTCCTTGGAACCCCAAAAGTGACAATTTTGCTTATTTTCATACCGCCGAGTGAGAGAGGCGCCTAGTCGTTGATAAAAATTTGACTTATAAGTCGTCGTTCACTGCTCATTGTTCCAGCACCCAATCGACGATTGTACGATGTTGTGCATGGTTAGCTGAATTCAGTAGTTGTATGAGCTGGATTTTATATACATAGATGTTGGTGTAAGCCCGAGTGCAAAATGTACCATAATGTGCCGTAAGAAACTCCCAGTGCTCGAGAACGTTGAGAAATATACATATTCAGGTCTGTGGCAACACTTTCACTTCAGTACAGTAGCGATACTTGAGAATGAGAGAGTAAAACGCGCAGGCCATAAGAAATCTGTGCCCGATATAGTCGCGTCAAATATCTACAAAATTTTACCAAATTTTTTTGAGTAGTAGGACCATTCGTTATGTGCACCATAATCTCCACTTTAAGCACGAAGCGTGGCCACCGTCGAATAACTGTTTTTGTAATGGGTTTTTGCTCTGTATGGTTTGGTGCTCTGTATGGTTGTTAAATGAACTATTTTCACAAAAGAAAAAAAAAAATTTGAAACCACGAAATGGCTAACCCTCTAATAATTAAATTAAAAATTGTAATATTTATTTCCGTAATTATGTTGTGTTGTGCATAAATAAATATTGTGTTTATATCGCGCCCAACACAAATAATTTTATTTTTCTTTTCGCTTTTCGCTTTTCACACCCCACCAAACCACTTTACCTGTCGGTCTTCTGCTTTTCGCTCTCCAAATCCCTGTAGGTTTGCTGCAGCTTATCGGTAAGTAATTCCAAATTCTTTGTCAATTTATATTCAGCCTCGAATTTCTCCGATAGCAGCACCAAATCCCTGGTGGCGTCATGCAGCGGCACATCAGAAATATACAGACCCTTTCTGTAATTGAATGCGAGCGGAAAATGAAAATAAATAAAAATAAGAGTTAATTTTAGGAAATAAATGCAAACTTCTGGCAAGCCAGAGTTGTCTGTTTGTATGTTTGTGTCTGTGTTTCTATTTGCGGTAGATTTCTCAAAAATATCTCTCAATTGCTTTGTAAATATTTTAATGACGTTGGAATGCTTTTAAGCAGCAAATAATAAAATTTGTACTTAAAAAAAATTAGTTTTTTCTCGCGCACACACACTTCAACTGCTTAAAAATGGTCGAGAGTGTTGGTCAAGCATATTTTGTTGTGCTGACCGTCAGCTAAAATATAGACAAGCAATACGGCAAACCACAACTCGAGGGTGTTTTCTACTTTTCTGCAAAGCAATTAAGTTTTTTTTTTTGCTCTTTACATCTATTCACTCAGCAGCAACCAAAGTGTTTGGAAATTACAAAATTTTATCGCTTAAACCTTTATGCGCATTTGTATGAATTTGTGTATGTGGGTGTTCAAAATTTGTTGAGCTATATATATATACTCGTATATATATATATTAGCATTTTCAACATTTCAAATTTTTGCTTATTTCCACCTTCACTGTTGCCTCGTAAATTTCATTTTTACTTTTACTTTGGGTCTTTACATTCACGGTTTAGTTGAAAACAATTTCCAACAAATTGCCGAAACATCTGACGCCTGTGCCGAAAAAAGTATCACTCACATTATAAAATTGGCTTAGCTCCTAAGAGCGTTTAGACGCTTATCGTTTCAGAGTTGAAAATACGTTTTCCATTAAATGGGAAAAAGAGATGCGAGATATCGAAAGTGAAGTACACCTTTTACAGTTACGAAATCGGATATTTTGAACCGAAATAAAGGGGGTTTCCTTAAAATATCGATGATTTTGTTGCTGGTGTGGGACATAACGCCGTCTTGTTGAAAGTAAATGTTGTAGTAATTAATACCTTCCAAACCCGGCCATAAAAATCACTGATCATTTCTAGATAGCAGAATCCACTCTGTTTCGAAAAAGTATGCCCCAGTGACCCCGCCAGACCGTAGACCACACCAAATAGTTACACGCTGAGGATAAAGAGGCTTTTTAACGATTAATCTTGGGTTTTCCGAGCCCCAGATGTGACGTTTTGCTTATTGACGTAGCCATCGTGGTGGAAATGGCCTTCATCAGGCAAGATGATTTTTTGACGAATTTCTATACAATTTTCATGCATTTCAATTGCCTAAAGGCACGTCGTTTTGATGATTGGCCGGCTTGTGTTCTTGTACCAGCTGAACTTTAAAATCTTTATTATCCAAGACTTTATACGAAATACGTTGTTATGATGTTTGTGGAACGCGCAATTCCAAAGAACGAGAAGGGGTTCTTGGGCGACGTGGCGTGTTTTATTCTTCACATAACTAGCTTGGCCCAACAGCTTCATTTTTTCTAACAATTTCCGTATTTCGGTCCGACAATATGCTTATCGATGACCAAAAATGTTTTAGCTTTGTGAACCGTCTCTGCCATGCTTTCATTATTTTTTTTAGTGTAATGTCAAACCATTACAGTGAGATATACCGGAATAGCAGACTCTTACTGGAAAACCCTTTATGTAAGTATCAGAAAGAAGAGAGAGAAAGCCGAGCTAGGATCGCTGTTTTTAAGATAATTCAATCAAACTTCGTACACAGATCCAATTTTTTGTTGTATTAATTATTTGTCAGACCAGCCCGGTGGAAACACTATAGACTAAATGACCAAATTTTCAGAAATTCTGTGTCATAAATCTGTCAAAATAGCTTTTCACACATCAAATCAAATGAATATTGATACTGATCAATGATTTTTTTTTATTCATGAAAGGCATAAAGAGTTCAACTTGGCCGCAGGCGTTATGAATTAGTGAAGCTAATGGTGCTATTAACAATTCTTTACTCCTCTTCAATAGAGATGAATACATGAGCGAGGTGGAATTTAATTTTGATTATTTTGGATACTTTTAACGGCAGAGAGCCTCTTCAAATGGGCGACATCCCTGAACGAAATACTACAGGCCCTCAATGCAGGAAATAATTTGTGTTTTTCTCCGTCGCCTAACTTGAAATGAAACCAAGTCGCTCTCCATCTGATCCTTACATCGGAATGGTCCCTACTTCCACCGGCAACTGGAATATTCGTATCCATTCGAACAACATAATCTACCCAGCGTTTCAGCATTCGTTGAACCATATCAATGCCACCAAATAACCCGTACAGCTCAACGTTCCATAGTCTGCGGTATTTGCCGTTCCCAAGTCGTAGAGGAGCATAAATTTTATGCAAAACCTTTCTCTCGTAAACTTCTAACGCCGACTCATCAGATGTTGTCATCGTCCATGCCTTCGCGCCATATAAAAGGGAGAACGATGAGGGACTCGTACAATTTGGTTTTCGTTCGTCGGAAGAGGACTTTAATTTTCAAATGCCTACTCAGTCCAAAGTACAACCAGTGATTCTGCTTTGAATTTCAAGACTGACATTTTTATTGGTGTTGATGCTGGTTCGTAGATAGTTAAAATTATCTGTGAACAGTGACTTGGGAGCCAAGTATAAGTTTTGCTGGAATACTGCCTTCGTTCTGTCGAAGGCTACTTTAAAATCGACGAAACGGGTGGTGTGTGTCGATCCTCATTTCCCGGGTCTTTTCTAAGATTTGGCGCATGATGAATATCTGTTCAATGTTCGATTTACCAGGTCAAAAGCCACACAGATAAGTTTCAATCAGTTTTTTTTAAAGGCGGGCTTAAGTCTTTCACACAATACGCTGGAAAGCACATTATATGCGATATTAAGGAGGTTTATCCCACGGTTATTGACGCAGACTTTGGGATAGCCGTTTTTTTATTGGGCAGAGTACACTCAGGCTTCAATCACCGGTCCAGTTTTCGTCCTAACATATCCCTCAAAGAGGTGAGATATACACCTTGCCAGCTCTTCATCAACATGTTTGAATAGTTCTGCCTGTAGGCCACCAGCCGCTTTTATATGTACAGGCAAGTACTGTTCGAACCTTGTTTTAGCAAGCTGGAGAAGTATTTCCTACACACACCATATAATGCTCTGGGCATCGGCCACCAAATTTACAAATTAATTCCTACATGAGCATGTTCCGATCTTGAAACCTTCGGTTAGTCGCCGTATCATTACTTAGGCCAGCTTCTCACGCTCTTCATACGGATGCATTTCGACCTTTTTCTCTTTGTTTCAACAAATGCGTCTTGCGTTCCGCTTCAGCTCTCTGTTTCGCTCTCATACCCATTAGTAATAACTCTGCCTAAATACATATTTGAGCAACTTCTATATCTAAAAGAAAGTCCAGCTGTATTTTTTATATGTCCACCTCGAATAAAAAATCCTAACTTGTCTCCTGTTAAAAAGCCAGTAGAAAATAAAAGATACAAATACAAATACCAACGAATGAAACAAAAAAGCAAAAGCTACTGCTAAACAGAACTCCGACCCATAAATACAGTGAAACTGGTTGTAGAGAGTACTAGGCTGTCTGTGAAAGCGAATTGGCTGGTAAAATATAATGTGCCATAAAATTGCATTTTTTTTGTTTTTGTTTTTTTTTCTGTTTTGCCATGCAGAGAATTTGTTTTTGCATCACCTCGTACGGGTATGTTGTCTCCATTCTGTTTTTTAGACATGCCGCTTTTTTACTGCCACTGCCACTGCCAATGCTTCTGCTTCTGCTTCTGCTGCCTCTGTTTATATTTTTGGCTTCAATTCAGCCTATTTCTTTGCCACCAACAGCAGCAAGCCAAACTTGATTGTGTAAAATACAAAATATGACAAAGTAAGCCATTAAAGGCATTTAAAGCAAGTCCTTATGCGTCGTCCGTTTTTATACGCACAGCCAGTTGCAGAGCTTTATTAATACAAATATGTGTATGTATAGGAGAACACACATGTATCTGCATACATATATACGGATTGTCATATATTGCATGTGTGTTCGTATATCGTTTGCGGTCTATGTAAACAAGGCATGCCTTTAGGCGCTTTATGGCACTTTGTGGTTTTCATAGTTAGTAAAGAAATATTTATTCGTATATCTGTTTTATATATTGTACTGTATTATATAAATATGTATGTATAATATGTCACTTTTTTTTGGGCAAAAATATATCTCTGTATATGTGTGATGAGATAATTTTGCTTTTAGACACTTGCGTGCGGGTTAAATTGTGTCTGTTATTTTGTGGATTATTAGCTGTTTTGGCTAACGAGTAGAACAAGATTTTTCATTTAGGAAAGTATAATATGATTTTCTTAAATGAAGCCATCAGCCACTGATCCTTATTTTACTGTACTGTACTGTATAGTATAATTATGTAGATTTGTAAACGGCAGACACTTCCGTAGGAATTGCTGATTACTGTGTGTGAGATACTGCCCATGAGTTTTTGGACTAGAGTCCAATTTGGTGCTGGATTTACGGCTTGAGAGATATTTTTATCACTAAGTTGTGGCATTTATATGGGTGGATGAGCGTCTCGCCACAATCCGTAATCAAAATGCAGTTCCTCAACATATCGCTGACATGTCCCCACGCCTGATGCAAAAGAAAGACGACGTGACTAAAGATGTTTTTCATTGTTGCATAGAATACTTCTTTTATTGCTGCCAAAATATCATACTTTGCGGTTAAAGCGAAGAATGTGTCTGTTGCACTTCACTTGGAAAGTTCAGCCTCTATAAGGAAACACCCCGCAAAGACCCTGATAGACTCCGCCGGAGACTAGAAATATGGTTGTCTGTAGCAACAGCTTTGTACGCTGACGCTAAGCGAAATCAAATTTCAGTAATATCGGGAAAGATCTCTCCGAGCCGTTCGATACCAAAAGAGATTTCAGACAACATGATTTCTTTAATTTATTGTTGGAGAACATAATACATGCTACAAAGCTAAAGAGACAAGATAAAATCTTCTATAAGACTGTACAGCTGCTGACATACGCCGATGATATTGACATTATTGGCCTCTATAACTGTACCATGAGTTCTGCTCTCTTTAAACTGGTTAAGGAAGCGAAGGGTGTGTGTCTGATAGTAAACGAGCTCAACACGAAAAATTTCCTGAAATCCAACAAGCAACATTCGCGACTCGGCTTCCACGATATTGTTAACAGTCTGCGAGATCAAGATATGGTCTATCGGAACCAGTATTGACACAAAAACAATGTCAAATGCGAAATCCAAGCAAAATCACTCTTGTCAACAGGTTATTATATATGCTGAGTAGACAATTGACAAATTAAGCTCTCTCTTGATGAACAAAGACCAAACCCTACCAGGCATGGCAAGAATGGTGACAAAATCTAATGAGTCAGTTTTGGGAGTATTTTAGAGAAGGGTTTTGATGGCCGATGGAATAATGAATTATAAATGAAATACAAGAGACAGCGGCTACGTTGAGCAGTGTCTACGCCAATAAAGAAGAAGTAAAGCCAGATTCTGCTACAAGAAAACTTATCAAGCTACATAGCTAGACATGTCTTCAGTGTTTTAGATGAGCCTAATAACGACTCGACTATCTTGTAGCAGCCAATATAAGCGATCGCCCATGTGTATCAAAGAATATCCATCAACAAACACAAGGAAAGTTCGACGTCGAAAAGCTGGAATAACAACAGACAGCCGCACGGGTTTCTACACGAATTGCACTCCTGCTCACTGAGAGTACTCATCAACAAGTCGTTATAATTAAGATTATGAGTTAATATGATGTTGATGACACATTAAAATAAATTAAGAAGTACACAAATATTCTCGGTTCTACTAGCCCAAATTTATCTTGCAAAAACCCGGACATATTCATTGAGTTTGTGGTTTAATTTCTTTGGTTTTTAAAGTTTTTAATTAAGAACGAGTATGCAAAATCAGCATAGATATGACTCAATTAATTAGACTTGGAAATTTTTGGTCTTAAGCTTACAACACATAGGCGACTTAAGGTCTGATATCTTCAACTGGCACGACCTTTCCTTTTGACGCTGCTGCTACTACCCATGTTGGCAAGAGAGAAATCAACAGCGATTTGATTAAACTAGTTTACGAACTCTGAATCTGTTCGGCAGTATTGCTTTTATTGGTTTCTGAACTCTCTCGCAACGACCGCATTGTGCTGTCGCAATGACTATTTTAGCTTTTAAAGTCGTTAAGTGTCTCTAAAATCTGCTATTTGTGATTAGAAGTTAACGAAAATGCAGATGCAGTAAAGCAAGATTGATTAAAAGTGCTTTTGTTGTTGTTAAATGTTTAAAGAAAAGTCAAAATAATATAAAATGCCCGCAAAGATGCGTATATGTACTACTTTGTTTTTTCAGAAGCAGAAAATCTTAAGTAGCGGACTTAGGTTTGAGTAGAAACGTTTTGGAAACTTCAATTTCATCACAGAGATATCAAGTGAAGTTTCAGATTCAGCGTCATAAATTATGGAAGAGACAGGCCCAAAGTCTTGCGTGCGCGGATACCAGTAAAAACTTTAATAAATCTTAATATTAATTTCAATCCAATCTTGATGACAATTTTAGAGATTGTTCTTTGGTTCAGCAATAAAAAAACCCTCAGGTAAAGTCGCAAAATTGAAAACTTCCAAAAAGTGACTTTTTTCAATATTTTTTTTTTTAATTTCGTGCATTTTTAATAATTTGTATTATTTCAAATTTATCTTTCTTAAAAAAATGTTTTTTCTTTCTGATATGTTTATTGGAATTTATATATTTACAAGTCGAAAGTCTCAAACCCTACAATTATATTGGCCAAGTAAGAAGTTCGTTCGGTTTTTATCAAAGAGATGGCTTTATTGTCCATAGTACTCGTTTTGCGTGTCCCATTATGTCATACTATACGTCGTCGAAAACGTTTTTATTCGCGCTAAAAGTTTGTCTTTAACAGTTTTTCGATTGATTGACTCAGTACGGTGTGAGTACTCGTCAACGATGGACACCAGCAAAGAGAAGTTTCGCTCAATTTTACAATTTTTCTTCGATCGAGGCGAAAAGCAACCAAAGCGGCTGAAAAAAATAATTTAGTTTATGGGTCCGATACTGTAAACGAACATGTAGCCCAAAAGTGGTTTGCTAGGTTCCGTTCCGGAAATTTCGATGTCAAAGATACGTCAGGCGTCGGGAGGCAAGTCGTCGAAAATTGCGATGAAATCATGGAAAAAGTGGAAACAGACCGTCACGAGAGCACTTATTCAATTGCTGAAGAAATAAAGACAAGCCAGAAAATCGTTTGGAACCATTTGCATAACCTTGGATTCAAAAGGAAGCTAGATGCTTGGGTGCCACACGAACTAACGCAAAAAAACATGATGGACCGAATTTCCATATGCGACTCGCTACTGAATCGCAACAAAATCGACCCATTTCTGCAGCGGATTGTGACTCGCGATGAAAACTGGGTCACTTACGGCAACATCGAGCACAAACGGTCGTGGTGGTCAAAGCCAGGTAAGCGGCCCAGATGGTGGCCAAGACCGAATTAACGGCCAGGAAGGTTTCGCTGTGTGCTTGGTGGGATTGGCAAGGAATCGTCTACTGGGAACTGCTCCCCTGCGGAGGAGAAACGCTCAATTCGACCCTCTACTGCCGACAAATGAAAAGCTTGAAGGCAGGACTCATCCAGAAGAGGCCATTTTTGATCAACAGAGGCCGAATTGTGTTCCATCAGGACAACGACATGCTACACACGTTTTTGGTGACGCGCTAGAAGCTCCATTAGCTCGGATGGGAGGACCTAATGCACCCATCTTATAGTCAGGACCGTGATTACCATCTTCCTGTCCATGGCGAATGCTCTGAATGGTGAGAAGTTGGCCTCAAAAGGGACGCGACCTTCCACGAGAAGGGTATAATGAAGCAAAAAGTTTACGAACAAAACGGCGTGTACTTGACTTCAATCGGACAAATGTACACAAAGTTATCATATTTTGAAAAATCAGTAAAAAAACCGAGCGAACTTATTGTTTGGCCTAATATTTGTGACATAAAATAAAAGTTCTTAATAGGGTCCATTTATTTGCAAAATATCAAGACGCTCACTTGGAGAAGATACAACTAATATTGAGGAAACTCACAGATTCCAGTCCAAAACTTTAAGGACTGGTTATGATAAATTCGATTTTATTTTCTCGACTTCCTGTTAAATGTTTAGTTCATATTAGACAAAAGATGGCAGTGCTGTGACGAGGAAGGAAGGAACAACGTAAATTAATGTGAATTCTCTTACATTTCTCTTAGCAATATGGCGCACTGAACGTTCCAAACCATTAGCTAAAGCTTTGTCCAACTCATACAGAAAATGCGTTGTATTGTGTAACAGTTGGTATAGTATGAGTTAGAATTCTCTTGTGCAATATTTTTAAGTCGTCTGAATCATTTGATTTTATTTCGCCTAACCAACTCATCATTATTGTATATAAATATAGAAACAATTTAACTTTCTTGTGTAAAAAAAAACTCATTTGTACTTATACTCACTTCGTTAAATCATCTAAATTCATAACGCTGGGATAACATTGGAATAATATACGATCGGATTCTGGTATATACATCATTTGACCCTGAAAATATTAAATGAAATTTCTGTAATGAATGTACGAAAATATGCCATTTGGTTAGTTTGGAAAAATTGTCAGAATTATCACAAATTTATTGCTTTATGTATATATGTAAATTAGGGTGCATTAGTTGTTTTCAAGGTCATTTAACAGTATTTTGTTTCTTTGATGTTATCTATTGTTTTTGATTCTATTAACCACAACTTTTTGTGTGAGAAATTAGTAAAATATATAAGGTTTAGCGAATAATAATATATTGAGGATTATAGTCTGTATTTTGAGCGATAGATTTGTAATGGTAAAAGTCCGTAATACTTGTTCTAGTCTCGTGCATACGTGTATGCACTCTGGTGATATGAGTGATATGACTCAGGCCCCCTACTTTTTCAGTATTTTTATAAACTCTGCTGCTGTTCAGTAGTATGTGTCTAAAGAATGTGGCCACCTACCCTATTTATAGGAACCAATCGACTCAAATTAATGAGGTTGTGTGTAATTTTTTTTTCCTTCACGAACAACTTCATGTCCATGTAAGAAAGTGAATTACAAATTTACGTTTCCCCTACACCACGTTCTTTGGAAACCATTAATGCAAATTAGACTCTCATTCACTACATAAACTGACACCATAAGGTGCGCAGATACGTCCTTCCAGCATTATCCTGCAATAAACTTAAGGCAGTAGTCTTCAAATCCTGGTGCAGTACTAAAATCCAAAAAGTTATAAAAAATAAATTTAAACAAAAAATTTGCTAAATTTTCAAATTACGGTCACCCCTCGACAGGGATTGTGAACCCCTCGGAGTGTATTTCTGACTTGAAATATAGGCTCCTCATAAAAATCATCAGCCACAAATTGAATGAGGAGGAGGTCGGCCGAAAATCACTTTAGCAGTTACAAAGCGCCAATTATATTAGTAGTCTGCTTTAGAGGCTTCTAAAAAGGCATATTATTCTCTCTTAAATTCATACAAAGACTATCTGAAAATATGCCTTCAAAATTTCAGTGACCAAATAGACATACATATTTTAGAAGCCAGAGAAGTTTTACCGACTGAGACTCGAGCAGTTTCGAAAGCTCTGCCAGAATTTTGAAGTGCTTTTTCTCAAGCTTTCATTTTTACATGTCTTAGGTAATGCTGCTGGTGATAGCAAAAAGAATATATGTCTGATCGAAAAAAATCAAAGTGATCTGGCTTCGGTATGAAATTATTTTCTATTTGAACTAAAAACGTTGAACAAAACTTTTATATTGCACTAAGCAACTCAAATCAAAATAAAGTTATTTTATGCTTTATTTACAGTTCGGACTGTAACCTTTTTAACGATATATAATATGTATATATTTCTTTCACGAGCGCCACTGTCAAACGATTCGAACGGCTTCCAGCGGAATCGGTCACGAACTTATGCACTCATCCAATATATGCAATTTTTTTTACAACTTGAGGTGAATTACTTTTTAAAGTGGTTCTTTTTCGAAATTCGTAAATTTGGAATTTTCGAAATTCTGCGATAGTTTTTAGTTCATATGGAAGAGACCTTAAAACAATATTAAAAAATATTTGGTTCGACTGTTTCAGTTGCATCGAACGACCTCCATCACCAGCACCGTTTCGGGAATTCAGACGGCAGCCGCTTCAGAAAACTTATCAACACATTGGAAGATTCTGATATTTTTTTAATACTAAAATTATATTTTGAAGTTTATTGTTGAAAAAATATTTTCTTTTAAAGGCGACTACTACCTTTAGTTATCAAAGAGTGTATGTTCGTCAAATCTTATGCCTCCGAAATTTGATTATTTATGTGCATATAAATATTATTAATATTGTGTTGAAGTTGTGATTCCATTGTTCTTGAAGAAGGCGTTGCACAAAAGTGCACGCAAAACAAACTTCTAGGCTACTATTTTTCATCAAAATATTTAGGGTGGTTATAAGGTTACCTATTTTCTTCGAGAATATATTTTTTATAATTTAACATATACAATGAACTAATATATTTATTTCAATTATCAATTGTAATTTATAGTTTATTTATTTATATTGTAAGAAAATTTAATTAAGACTAATAATAATACTAGCACTAATACATTTAAAGCTCGTAAGACTGTGGGGAAAAAATGATACACCCTAATTTATGCACATGTATGTGTACTTTTATATATGTATTGACAGAAATTAATTGTATCCTTGTAATATGAGCAAATATGAAACTGTTACAAATTTTGAAATATGACATACACTCATACGTATGTAGGTATGTATATACCCTGTAGGGAAAGGTACTAATTTTTAACTAGAATCATTCTGGTATAAAGTTTTGCACTAACTTGTTATTCCTTCATTCTCCATGTAAACAACTGCTATTTGTTAATAAGACGATGCCTTACGAACTTCAAATTGCCCGTCTATGCATTAGCAGCATACCAGTTGAGGAATAGTTCGCCCCAGACCAGTCAAGATGAAACTAGTTTAAAACAAGTTTGATTGATTCTGGGATACCAAACGATTTTAGTCGATTTTAGTGAGATTTTTTGTGTGTGTTTATGTAGATTTGAGAATGGTTTCGAAAAATTCCTTTCACGGGATAAGAAACATCTTATATGAAAATCAAAAAAAAAAAAAAAAAATTTCCTTCAATTTATTTGAAATTTGGTACTTATTTTATTCTAAGAAATTGATCATTTTTCACCATTTTTCACAACTGAGCAATATGTAAAAAAAACTACAATAATATATGGTTTTTGTTGTTGTTACAGCTGCAAGTATAATAATGCTTGATTGGAGCTTTCAGTTAAAATATTTGTTTTACAAAACTGCAAACTGGTATGAATTTGTCCTAAAAATACTAGTTCATATACTACAACTCTTGCAAACTAGTCCACATTTTATCGAAAAATACTAGTATAAATCTGGTCTATTGGAAGACCAGAATATTTTTGTTAATTTAACACTAGTATAATGCGGGTTTAAAACAAATTTAGCTTCGTGTTTAACGAGAATTTTTGTCTACTTTCTTCCTGTACCATAAATGGAAATATTTGCAATCTGTGCATGTGGTTCTATTGCTGGCGAGTAGTCTAAAATATTCACTGCTGGAATTAGAATAAATTTCGTAGCAGCTGAGCACAAAGTAGAAGATATAAAACCGCAAATAATATGGAAATAAATCAAATTCGAGGCAAGCTGGCAAATTTATATTTCAATAATTTCGTTTTTTTCGTGAACGTCAAATAACACATTCTCAGAATCATACATACATATGTACATGCATAGGAAAAATACAAAATAACAGTCTATTTTCCAAATGCTTTTATTATCTGGACCACTTTGTGGCATCTGTTGTTTGTGTCATAAATACTATTTTTTTCTTTTATTTATTTTCCACATTAGCGACAGTTGACCAGCTAGCGAACAAGAAAATCAACTACGAGTATTTTAGAATTTCGTATTCAATGCACACTTCGTTACCCCCTGCTAAACAACATTTTTGTGTTCACATACAATATAATCGCAATGTGGCAGTGGTGGATATTTAATTTCCGTGAGGAATTTAAACAAAAACTGATATGCAGCGTAAATATGTGCAGTTTTATTTTTGGATTTTTCAACCTTCTCTCCAAAGGTATGAGCAAAATATTCTAAAATGTTTCAGTATTGTATTCAAGTTACGCTGGAGTCCTACACCCTTCATAAGCGTGAGATGGTACATAAATACGGAGTGTGAAAATAAACCAAAATAATACGCATTTAAAATAATTTCTTTCACGAATTTTCATTTGTATACAAAATTTGAATCTTGACGTTATATGTGAAAAACTACATCACTAATATGACTAGTGATTGACTATGATAGCGCGATTTTTGAGCGATAGATTTTCATAAATGCCCCACAGACAAAAGTCAAACCACAGTTTTGTATCTTTGAAACCACTAAAGTTATGATCTTATATAATAAGTTCCAAAAAAAAGAGAGAGAGAGAGAGATCCGCCAAAACTTGTACTGAGCGTATCAGAATGATTTAGCCGGGCCCGTGAATCAGTCTGTTCAACTGTTCGATCGCAAACTAGTGCCGCAGTTTTTGAGATTTTTCAACCAAACCTACTACGCTGATATACTCGTATATTATATTTGAACTGTATTGATCAAAGAAGTTTTGAGTAAAACGTCTGTCAAAAAAATCGTCGAATGTGCAAAGTTGTGGAATGGAAAGCATATTTTCATAACATTTTTTTTTAAATTTTGTTCAAAAATAAATAAGAATTGTGAAACTTGTTTGTATTTATTATTTCCTAAACTTTTCTGATAATTTCAGTGGGTCTGGAAAGGGACAGACGGCTCCAAAAAAGTCAAAGTGACTGGCGACTGTGTTTCTGGGATTGCTATAGGGTTATTTTAAAACTATAAAAAAAAACTAAAAAAATTTCTCTACGATCAATAACTTTTTCTAGCAACCTCGCAAACATATAATCCCATAAATTGTTTCGGTAAATCAGGACCACAATACTTAAACCACATTTATGGTGAAGTAAAAGGTTCGTTAGGTTTTTTATTGATTTTTCAAATATGATAACTTTGTGTAGCTGGAGCTTCTGGCGCGTCACCAAAGACGTGTATGGCCTGGCGTTGTCCTGATGGAACACAATTCGTCCTCTGTTGGTAAAGGTGGATGAGTGCTGCATTCAAGCGTTCCACTTGTTGGGAGTAGATTTTTTCATCCGCTTGGGCTGCTCTTTTGCTTTGATTGAAATTGTAAAATATAGCGAATTTTCTCTTTGCTGGTGACCATCTTTAACGAGCGCTCACAACGTACTGAGTCAATCAATCGAAAAACTGTCAAAGACAAACTTTTAGCGCGAATAAATACGTTTTCAGCGCCGTATAGTATGACATAATGCGCCACGTAACACTAGTATTATGGACACCGAACTTCTTACTATACCTAATGTTCGATTGGGAGTATTGAAGAATGAGCTGCGTAACAATTCTTCAAAAAGTGGAAGGTAAATATGATATAAGTATTCCACCGCGATTTAAAAAAAAACCTTGAACCTTAAAAGTGGTTTTTTCACTTGATGATCACAGATCAAACACTATGGAATCAGTTATACATAACTTACTAGCAAACCTGGCACATTGCTTTGGCTTTTTGTACTTTATCCAATCTTGATTTCAAATTATATTGCATAGCACAAAATAAAACGATCGGTGCTTATCAAATTAAATCATACCAGATATTTTCAATCTGTCCGTGCTCCCTTTCCCATAAGGAAAGTACTATTTATAGTTCGAGCAAAGCGAATCTATTTGGGCATACCATAAAAACTTTAACTAAAAAAAGTCATGAAAGTGTATGTTTTTTTTTCAAATATATTGATCGTCTTCCAGAAAAAAAGTGCATAAAAAGTATTATGATTACAATTTTTCTGCAAAAGCCAGCTATGTACCGAACTTCAAATAAATCGAACAATAAATATAATTTTTTAGAATAATTCCCTCCTTGATTCACTTCTCAGAAAGAAGATGTAGTGGGTTGCATATAAATGCATATGAATATGCAAAGTCTAATTTTTCTTTCATGAGAAGAAAAAAAATCTTCAAATATTTTGAAACATTAGGGCGAACCGTTGTATGGTAATTTGATTGATTTTTTTTTCTAAACGCTACTGTGAATTTAATGCAAATTTTCTTTAAATTGTCACTTTTCTTACGTACAATTAACTACATTTGTTGCGTATGAATATCCGCATAAGAGAATGAAAAAAAAAGAGAACAGGGTAAAAAAGAAGAGATAGGTTTCTGGGCAGGGGATCGATTTCAACCGCCAGATGACCAAGTTAGCAAAATAATAATTCGTCACAAATTAATAAAGTGTGTACGTCTATAAACCACCTTCATATCCTCTAGCTCATGGAGCCTTTAAGAAGAACGAAAGCCTTGTAAATATATATTTTTGGAGCATTCTCTTCTCAGCGACGAAGCAATACGGCATGACTTCTGGGACTTATTTCTATTGAGACTTCAACCGCATTCTGGCATTCAAAAATTTTAAATTTATAAATTAGAATATCAAATGTGATATACAGGCATATGGAGTTCCTATAATTTTTTTTTAAACTTCGATTCCGAGTATTTACCCATATTATAATTATGAGATTCAAAGAAACAACAGCAAAGTCCATTTGACCAAAATGTCGATAAAATAGAGAAAATCATTGAGTCCAACCATCATGCAAACACGGTTTCGATTACTACCCAGGAGGTAAACATTGCAAAAAAAATAGCTTGGAACCACTGGAAACAGGCTTGACAAAGAAGCTCGATGTGTTGGTGCCAAATGAGTTAACCAGTGAAAACCTTATGGATTGAATTTCCATCTACAAATCGCTGCAGAATCGTAATGGATGAAAAGTGGATCCCTTACAGCTTGGTCAAAGGGTAGTGCACTGAGGCAAACCTTCTCCAAGCCAGTATTGACGGTCAGGAAGGGTTTTTTGTGCGTTTGGTGAGAGTGGCAAGGAAATATCGCTGCTCTCTTACAGCTTCTTACTCTTAATTGTGACCTGTACTGTAAGCAATTGGATCGTCTGAAGGAAGCAATTTGCCAGAAGCACCCACCTTTGACCAACAGGGGGAATTGTATTTCACAAGACATCTTCAGACTCACTACTTATTAAGTGATTCAGTTCAGAGCTTGGTAGGGAAGATCTGATGAATACACCTTTGGACCAATTTATTAATATCTGCTCCTGTCTATGGTGAATGATTTGGTTGGTAAAAAAGTCTTTTGTCCCATTTTTTATAGGAGCATGGCTTGTGAGAATTGCAAAAAGTTATCGAGCAAAACGACATTTGTGATATAAATCGGATAATTCTAACAACGGTAAATAAAGCCTTCATTTTAATGCAAAAATAATGAATGACTTGTTACATGATCTAATATGTAAAACAAAATTTAAGAATTATAAAATATTTTAAATTATTTCAGCTGCAAATTTAAAAATGTCAATATTTACACAAATCTATATGCGTACATACATTTCCATGTGTATACAAATATGCTCACCTTTAACCTCAGATAACGTTCGTGTTTGCCCATTGCTCCTTGACGCGTCTGCAGTACATAAATCGTATTGATGTGCGATAAGATATTTTCGAACGTCAACTGCAAATGCGGACGTATGGCCTCGAGCACTTCCAATATTGAACAGTTTTCCACCGCAACTCTACAGAGAAAGAGAAACAACAAATTTAATTTCAAACAAAAAAATACAAAGCCAAGTAAAATTATTGAAAATGAAGAAATATTAACATAAAATTATAAATATTCGTGTGTTCAAATTTACACAATTAATTTGAGATCTACAGCTATAAAAGCTAAATAATATTTATTATATATGTAAAAAATTTAAATTAAAATTAAATTTTAATTTTACTTTAAATTCTTTAAAATAAATTTGATTTCTTTTTTTTTCTTGTTGTATATATTTATAGCTGTGAAGCAGCTCAAAAAGTTTTTCCTTTTCTGTATTCTGTTGCCTCCCGTCAATGCCGTTTTTATTTTAATTATCATTTTATTTGCATTATTTTATATTTGTATTATTTACCTGGGTATGACGCGCGAGACGGATTTGCCGGCTTGCACAATTTTCATCTGTCGATCGAACATCAAATGGAATGGGAACACCTTGCAAAATGTGGCGGGCGAGATAAGCGGCGCTGCTTTGCAGTATTCAGTAGCGGCGCATTGAGTTGTGTTGAGGTGTGTTGAGTTGCGTGGTGGCGTTGAATAAAAGGTGCAAAAAATAATATTGATTTGGGTTATTATTTGCTGTGGGAAAAATTCAGCAAAATATTATACAAGTATATATTATTTTAAATGAAAAGCTTTATGCAGGCATGCCGACACAATCATTCGAAATATTGTACACTTTGAAATTATCAACAATAATTTCTGTTAAAAATATATAATGGAAATTTATAAAGGAAAAACAAATGATATATTACCATGAATATTTACAATTAAAATGAAAAGTAAAATAAATTAAATAAAAAAACACAATTTGAAATTAAATATTTTGCTGACTTTTTGTTATTTATATGGTGTGAAGGGATCAATTTGGTTATGCATTTAAAGTAGAAAACCCAAAAATTAACATTTTATTCATGAAATAGAGAAATTCAAGGGATTCCAAATTTTTTATTGAAAAAAGTGAATAATAAACTTTTGTATGACATGGTAAATAATAAAATGCTTTATGAAGCAAGTTATTAGTACACGAAAGTAAATAAAATCAAAAGTGAGAGATTAGATCAGAAACAGAGTTCGACTAACAGGCCTATTCTCGTTGTTTCCCATAAAGGAAATTTTGTTACCTTTCTTAAAACCTGAAATTGAATTTGGTATTCTGGTTACAATGCTTGGAAAAACTTTGACAGCACTGCTTTTTTCGTCCATGTCAAATTACATTTGCCAGTTGATAAAGTGAAAAGATAAATATCCACATCGAAGTGGAAGAGAGTGCAGAAAAAAATTAAAAATGTTTATTAATTTGTTTATTAAATCATAAATATTTGAACCTCACTATGGAAAATATGCATGGACAACAAAAAGGAAAAAGCTGAATGAAAACGATATCTTACAAATTAAAAGTCTTTTTTTTAGTCTCGAAAACTTCTTAAAATACGACTTTTTGCACTTTTTTCTTCATCTCCAATGAATTCCAGGCCTAAAATATGCCTACCCATTCTAATTTTTTATTTTTTTTTCAAACTTACAACACAAAATCAAACAGCAGATTTTTTTGTTACCTTCCATTTCGCTGGTAACAAAATTTACAGGGTAACAGTGAGCTCAGAATACGAAATGGTAACAAAATTTACTGAAAGATAAATTTTAATACCAAAGTCAAATTTTGTTCCCTCGACAGAATTGGCTTGTTATAGGAGTATATATAAAGATCGACTGTTGAATCTACTCGGTTACTTTAAATAGATCCAGCAAAAAAAAAACGCCTTCCTGGAAACATACCATCCAACTCAGCTGTCTTAAGAGTTTGACCTGAAATGCTCAGTACTTTAATTTTATGGAATACCAAAATTTACGATCTGAAAAGCTCTTTGACAGATATTCGAACCAAAAGCTTATATCTGAACAAATCGGTTGTATGAGGGTTATATGATTTGATACAGTCCGCCTATTTCAATGATTTTCGGCGACGTTGATGTTGCTTTGTATATACGTGTATGGAATATCAAATCTCCTGCTTTTAGATGCTTTCTCTCAATGGATTTTTGACTAAAGCCCTCATAACTGAATAATTTGGCTGTTTGGAAACCATATGACGATTGTCGGTGACAATGTTTATTATTTTAATGTATAATGCCAAAATTGATGCTCTTTGATGATTGTTGGCTGAGTTTTGATGAAAGTCCCTTATCTGAAAAAATCATATACCATGCCATAACCATTCGGATTTGATGTTTTTCTGTTCTAGTATGCATGCATAATACCGAATTTCACGCTCTTAGTTGATTTTACACAAATTTATGATCCAAAATAACAAATCTGAAGAATCTGTCGTATATAAGTCGTAGTGTTCCGTTCTGGATTGGTTCCGGCAGATGTGTGTTAGATTATAAATACTGGTGAAAAAACTGAGCGACTAGTATGCGTACAAACAGAAGGACAGACTGTCAAATCAACTCAACTCGTCAATCTCCCCTGACGTCTAATCTTCTAGTACGTCGAACCCATGTTAATAAGCCTTTATATGTAGGTCTAATTAGTTCAAAAACCACTGGCATCCATAAACCTGGATAGGAATTTTTTTTGATTACATGATATTAAATTCGAAGTTGCTTCATAGTAAGACTTCGATGAAATCGCACGAAATAAAGCGATTTCAGAGTTCAAAAGAAAACAAACCAATCACAACAAGCGGTCTTATTCATTTATTTAAATGAGTGGCGGTATTTTAATATAATTTTGGGCGATGTCGACCAAAGTGAAAAGTGAAAATGAAACACCAGGTTATGGTGAACCCGAAATCCCAATAGCTGATGATGAAAAAAAAAACGTTACGTTGCCAGACCATGAATTTAAAAACAACTGAGCGGCGAAAACCGATGGATTACCGGCCAAGCAATTCAAATACTTTGGTGAAGAGCTGACAAGGTGTATGCATCAGCTACTTTGCAGAATATGGTCGGGCAAAAGCAAGCCCGATGATTGGAGCGAACCCACAGTCTGCACCAATTACCGTGGAATACACCTTCTTTATATCATATTAAAGGTATAATCGAGCGTATTTTGTGACAGACTGACAAATTGATTGGATTTTACCAGTGTGTCTTCAGACCTAGTAAATTGAATATTGACCAGATATTCACCATGCGTCAATTCGTAGAAAACCCGTGAAAAGAGGAACGACATCCACCACCTCTTTCTTGATTTTGGAGTAGCCTTCGACAGTAAGAAAAGGAGCTACCTCTACACTGCTCTGTTTGAATTTGGTATCCCCGGCTGGTATTCTACGGCACAAAAGGCTTCATCAAGATCGGTTACAGACAGTGTGATTATTTTGTGGCTTTTTTAATTTATTGCTTTAGAAAATAATACGAGCTGCAGAGGTGAAAAAATAAAATTCAATCTTCTATATGAGCGCACAGTTGCTGGCGTATGCCGATGATATTGACATTGTCGACCTCGACAACCGCGCCGTGAGTTCTGCTTTCTCCAGACTTAATAAAGAAGCGAAGCAGATGGGTCTGGTAGTGAATAAACTGTCATCACATTCGCGACTTGGCTCCCACGTCACTATTCACAGTCATAACTTTGAAGTCGTAGATAACTTCGTCTATCTTGGAATCAGCGTTAGCACCAACAACAATGCCAGCTTTGAAATCCAACGCAGAATCACTCTTGTTAACAGGTGCTACTTTGGACTGAGTAGGAATGGGGAAGTAAATTGCTCCCATTATAAACAAAAACTAAACACTACAAGTCGCACTTCATACCGTTCTACTTTATGGTCCGGCAGCGTGGACGATGTCAACATTTGATGAGTCGGCGTTAGGAGTCTTCGAGAGAAAAAGGTTTTGCGTAAGGTTTATGGTCCTTTGCATATTGACAAAGGCGGATATCATAGCCGATGGAATGATGAGTTGTATGAGATTTACGGTGACATTGGCATAGTTGAGCGAATTAGGAAACAGCGGTTTACGTTGGCTAGGCCATGAGGTCTGGGTGGATAGGAACACCAAGCTTTAAAAGTTAAAAGCTATGGTAGTTGGTATTTCCATTTGGGGTCAAACAGCGAAAAGAAGAAACGGATATTACAACTTTTTTAACTCGGCTATAATCACGTAAGCGATGTCTACGCCAGTAAAGTAAGTAAGTAAGTCCAATGGAGCGCGAGATTTGCTCCATTAAAGTTATCCATTCAATAGAATGGCTTATTGTCTTAAAGTCTGGCGGAAAAGTACCGGTAATCGGTTATAAATAACAAAATATTCGTTCTTGATTCTTATCAATTGTGTCACCTTCAGGGGAGATCCTTTCCGAAATACTTAGTACACTTATGCCAACGAGTAATTCAATTAGTAAAACATTGAACTCTAGTTCTCCACGAAAATTCTCATTTATACCTTTTTTTATCTGCTTAACAAAAACGAATGCCTTGAATTGATTATTTGAGTTATGGATAGAGTTAAGAAGCAGTCGCAGTCATACCAATTGAATACGGTAGTAGTGCGATGTCATTTGTGGAGGTTTTTTTTTCGTTCAAAATGATAGTATTGCGAGACGGTGCGTTAGTGTTTTATGACTTCTCTTCCCGAAAATTTGTACTTTACCAACTTAACATATTTGCTTTATTAAACTTCAGGATTAAATGATTCTTGCGTGTCTTCTGCGACTTTTCTGAACTGAATTCGACCCAAACATCCATTTAGAATGGCCCGATCTGATTCGTTAGATAGAGAAAGCTCAGCGACCATCTCCCTCATACTTAAATGTTCGTTTTCAGCTACCATCTTTTTTAAATTCAGCGATGTTTCTCTTCAATTGAAACTGTTGTTGGCTGATTACTGCGAGTCCAATCTTCGAACACAGTCCGATCGATTTTTAATGTACTGTACAATCTACTGATATGTAGGTATTTTTGATAAAGTAGATTGACAATGCCTAATTTTAGGAATTTATTGATATTCCATCGGGAACTTTCGCTGTCATTCGGCAAGTTGGAATTTCAGTATAATTTGGGAACCAACAACTAATTCATCTCACAGTGCGCTACAAGTGTTATGCGTTGGCTTTTAGTTAATTAATTTCAGAAAATTGAATAACAATGAATTGGGCTACATATAAATAAAATGAGATTTAAAAATCTTTGTAAGAAGAAGAGAATAAGAAGATGAAGAGAAGAGCACTTTTTTTTCAAAAGTCATTGTTTTTTTCAGTTTTTGAGATATTTAAATTAAATCTCATGACGAAAGCATCAACTTTTTTTATTTTACTCACGCATAAACAAGTTAACCAAGGCTTATAGAACACAAGGTTGCAACAACCGTTGACGTCACCGAACCAACTTCGTCATATTGATCTAGTAAAAAGTTCGTTCGGTTTTTTTTTTATTGATTTTTCAAAACATGATAACCTTGTGTACATTTGTCCGATGTAAGTCTAGTATGCACCGTTTTGTTCGTAAACTTGTTGCCAACTTCGCTACACCCCTCTCGGAGAAGGCTGCGTCTCTATTGGCAAAAAACTCGGAGAGCCAATTTTCTCAGGCCTCCCTTGAGGCCAACTTCTCACTATTAAGCGCGTTCGCCATGGACAGGAAAATATGGTAATCACTTGGTGCCAGGACTATAAGGTGGGTGCTTTAGGACCTCCCATTCGAGATCCTGGAGCTTCTGACGCGTCACCAAAAACGTGTTTGTCCTGTCGTTGTATTGATGGAACACATTTCCGCCTTCGTTGATCAAAAATGGCCTCTTCTAGATGAGTGCTACATTTAAGCGGTCCAGTTTTTGGCAGTAGAGGGCCACCAAACACACAGCAAAATCTGGTGCATCTTTAATATCGAAATTACGGGAACGGAACCTAACTAACTCCATCTTTTAGATAAAAACCGAACGAACTTTTTACCTGACCTAAAATTATGTTCGATACCACATGCATGATTTAATTTTACAGAAAATGTTAATATAAATCACTCACACAACTTTTTCTCAGATTTTTGTCCACAATAGCCCACTGCACACTTTTCACCGCTCCGATTTTTTAAGCACGATTTTTTCAGAGAGTAAATTTTGTTAAAAACTAATATAAAATTACCTAATTGGATTAATTTATATATTTTTTGTAAATTAGAAAACATTTTTTCGGCATTAAACTATTCAGAACTTTTAATTGTAATTTTTATTAATTTAAGAGAAGTAATGTGCAAGGTTTTAGGGGCTTAAAGCCCAAATGCTGTGCTGTTTCATAGATAAAATTAGGCAATTTTTTTTTAATTTTCGGCAACCTACAAATTCAACCAACTTCGTCGTGAAACACATGATTTCCATCTTGTCGTAAGCTTCTATTCTATAAGCCTTGCGAGTAAACATTGTCACCGACAACCATCAAAAACCGGAAAACTTCCTCATATAGCCACGTGAAGCTGATTTATATGAAAACTATGAAGGCTTCGGCATGCCCGAAGATAGCAAATTTTTTCCTGTTTTCAATTGAATTTTCTCGAGGGAAAAATGAATGAAGCGACGTCACGGGCAAACATATATTAGTGGAATGGGACTCTGGGATTTTTTTATAGAATTTTTGGATAAATAAAGAGGAATCTAAGTTTTTTTTCAAATAATTACACACATACACAGTTTGGTACACTTATATACATTATATACAGTTTAATACGAACCAAATGAAGGGCAAGCATGGAAAGCACAATTTTAATCACATTTAAATTCATTTATCTGCAGAAGTATTTAGTTTTTATTTCATAATTTTGAATAAATAATTTTGAAAAAATATTTCACAACGACACCTTTACATGGCAAGCAACACATCATGATGCATTTAGTTATTGTATTTAACGGTACTCGAATTTACTCGCATTATACTCGTTTGCACGAGTTTGTATGTAATAGCCAATTCACAGTGCTCACCTTCGCTCATAAAATACACTTCATCCGGCAGATCTAAATCTTTGCTAGCGGTACTAGTGCTTGCACACTCAGACTCTTCCTCACCTTCACACAAAAAATCAACTTCATCCGGCGGCTCCTTGGCCTCCTCCTTGCATAGGGCTATCGTACGTTGTTCATCGCCGCCACCGCTTGCCGATGACTCTAATGATGTTGTGGCTGTTGCTCCTCCTCCTCCTCCTCCACCTCCTGTTGTTGTAGTTGTTGTTGCATTGCTGCTGCTAGTACCGATTTCACGTATGAGAAACTGTACATGATCATAACGTTCGATGTCGTCACTTTTGTTCTTGAGTAAACGTAAACATTTTTGCTCCTGCTTGTCTGGGTCGCCATCAAAGCTGTCCGCCTGTTTGCCACTACTGCTCATCGAGGAGGTTGAAAGTGTCTTGGTGCGGCCAAAAGGGCAACGAGCTGTAGAAAGTAAATTAAGAAAATATTTGTACACGTATGTATGTATATCTGTGTATTTGCTTGTTGTTGGAAATAGAATATTTTGGAAATTAATTGATTGCGGTATAGAAGGATGATTTTGTTGAAAATGAATTAGAAGTACGTGATGCTCCAAGCACTTCTCTTCTCTGTTGCTCAGAATTTACATAAAAAATATTTGATGGGCAATTGGAAACTCGCATCAGGAGATGTGGGTGTGTGGGTGTGTGTAGTTGTTTGCATATATGCGTAAGCAACGATTGAGCCATTTGTTGGTCTAATTCAATTAGGCCATAAATATATGTGTGTGCGTGTTTGTATGTTTAGTAAAATGAGATTTTCTCACATTTCTGGCAGCCATGTTTGCCAACATCTGCAGTCATTTGGCTCTAAGCACTTAGATTACTCACAGTCTTCTTCTTACATACATTAACTGGCAGCGGAACAGTGTTGTGCACTTCATTAGGGTGTTTCCCATGTTACGGTATGCTTTAATATACGTGTAGATGTAATTGGCGTTTTGTAGCCGCTGCAGCGATTTTCGACCGAGTTGCTCCCCTCATTTTTAGTGGCACTTACAGTATATACTAAGCCGCCTCCGAACAGCTGGTTTTATAAAGAGCCCTTATTTAATGTCAAAGATACACTCGGAGAGATTGACATTCTACGCCGAGGGGACACCGCAGTTAGAAAATCAACTTGATTCTTTTATATAAATTAATTTTTAATAATTTTTGGATGTTGGTCGAACTAGGACTCGAACCCGGGCTCCCCGATTGACAGTAAGCAGTGTAAATCACTCGGCTCTCACGACCGTCAATACACAGCCAAAATATTTGTGAATATCTTCTGGTCCAAACTGACAAGACTTCAAGCGCTCCTGCCACTTAAGCCCACTTATGACCCGGATGAGACTTACAATAAAATATTGCTAAATCAGCAATAACCTTGATCTGACTCAAGCCCTCAAATGCCAGTCATTCTGCAGTGCTTAAAACCTCAGAGCGCTAAAGAAAGTATCTGAAGACCTAGTTTATAGCTTAGGAAATATACGGAACTGGTGTTAAATCTTTTACAAATATGCCGTATATGCGTCCTTCTGCGCTGGTCTTCAGAGAGTGGGAATAATTGCTTTCCTTCAACAGCATGGTTTAACTCCATGACTCTCAATAAGTTGCGAGTCTTCAGTCACGGTCGTATAAAGCTCGACTAACATTGACTAATCCACTTTTCAATTCCGATTTCTTTTTCTTTTCCATTTGCGTAAGAAACATTCCATAGCTCTTTGCTTTTAGTATGCCCGCTTCTTCTGATGGAAAATACTAGACAAATATTAATGCATTTCTTAGGTTCACAGGATCGCTGAAAATGCCTTTTGAAAAGAGTTGAAGTTTACTTTTGCCGACTTTTATATTAAGTCTTATCTGATGTGTTTCTTGAACTCTTTTGCTTGCTCTGACATCGCTTTGCGAATCAAGTCAACCATTCATATCTCACCACTCAGTCTTACAGGCCCTGGTGAAATAGATACACACCTTGCACTCTTACAAGCAGTGTCGATGGGAAATGTTTTACTCTTGAAGCTTAAAAATGTAATCGTTCTGCAATTTTAACTCCTCAACTAAAAATTTTTCAGAGGATCACTTCCCCTTTTCTTCCTACAGACTGTTCCTCAACGAAGGGGTTATATAGACTTTTCAGTTGCAGGAAACCAAAAATATCTATACATCTATATATTTATATCATCAAGAGTAACAACTTGGATTTTAACAAAAGATCATCTTCTGATATAGTCCTCACCAGTCCGGAAGCTAATATATTTAAGCACGGTATAATCTCTCTCTCTCTCTCTTTATGGGGTATGAAAAGTCACTCAACGCGACCCTCACCCAAGCAGAAGAACCTTGCAATTGCAATCCCTTAGGATATATCGATTAAAGGTAGTGGTATTTCTATCCGCTCTCAGTGGGATGACATTGAATCGAGGATGTCCATTCTCGCTACATCTTCAGCATTCATGCTATTGATAGGTAATTAGGCTAATCGTAGATAGGCTTTTGCAAAATCGTTCATTAATCTGAAGACCACCGAAATTTTCAGCTTTAGCCGATTTGAAAATCTCCTTATGAAATATCTCATTTCATATATATAATTGGCGTATTGTAAGCGCTAAAGCCATTTTCGGCCGAGATCCTCCTCCAATTTTTGATTTTTCGTCTTGATTTCTAACCAACAAATGGAGGGAGCTACAGTTTGTACTAAGCTGCCTCTGAACGGCTGATGGCCTTGTGTGAGGAGCTCTTGATGTTTATGTCAGAAATACACTCGGAGCGGCTGAAATTCCATGCAGAGGGGCGACCACGATTAGAAAAATGACTTATTTTTATATATAAATTTATCTTCTATAATTGTTGGATGTTGGTCGTACCAGGATTTGAACCCGAACCTTTCGAATGGCAGTATGCAATGCGAACCACTCGGCTACCGTGGATCCGAAATAACTCATTTAGGGCACTATAAGAGGCCGATAATTGTATATTAATTTAAAATTTATAAGACGCTTCGACAATACAATTAAGGGTCTGGCTATATAAGATTACATACATACATATTTATTTTTATGCAAAATGTTCTCTTGCGATATCTGCATGCTGGCCATTATTGTTTGTTTAGCTTACCTTGCTTTTTATTGCTAACATCTGAGGCTGATAACACAACCACATCATCATCATCATCTGCATCGGTTTCGTTGTTATTGTTATTGCTGGTATTATTGGTATTATTGTGATTGTTATTCTCTTCTGGCAGATTTCCACTTGCTATTGTGCTGCACGATTGTTGTTGCTGCTGCTGCTGCTGTTGTGGGCTTTGTTGTTGCTGCTGCTGTGTAAACACATCTGTACGGTCCTCTTCATCGATAGGATCACCTTTCCTTTTAACGATCTCAATTTCTACTTCCACTCCATGCAATTTCGACGCCACAGCCTAAAACGATTTGAAGGAATTTTATTCCAAATGTACACATATGTATATAAGTATGTATATATTATATAATCTTATCTAAGTATGTGCAGTAAATTTTTATTGAATACAAGTAGGGGCCAAATAATGCATGTTAAACGAGTTTGTGAATGTGTTGAGATTTATTATTATGTTCCGATTGATTTCTCGGTATTATGAATAAGTGCAAATTGAGTTGACTTTGGAAGCTGTGTTGGTAGTTGGTGTATGAAAATTACGTTTGGGTTAAGGAAATAGAGAGAGATCGAATAAAGTGAGAATTCAGCAGATTTTTGTTATTGCTCAGCCATTCAGAATGCTATAAATATAATAAACAGGATTCTCTTGTCGAGAGAGAGAGGATAGATATCCTCATTGAAGGTATTTGAAATGTTCGGTTTAAACATTAAAAAAAAATTTATATATTTCTAGGAATATAAACATGCTCCTGACTGACATTGATCGAAAATGGGCATTTTAATTAGAAGTTCGCAGCCACTTTGCGTCTGGATTGCCAACAAACCAAGCTTTGAAATATATCTATATAAATATATATATATAATTGGCGCTGTGTAACCGCTGAAGCGATTTTCGGTCGAAGCCCTCCTCCGATTTGTGGTTTGTGGAGAGACCCACAGTTTATACTTAACCGCCTCCGAACGACAGATGGTTTTCATGAGGAGCTTATTTCATGTCATAAATACGATCGGAGGATTTGACATTCCCTTCCGGCTAACAGGAGCTTTACATTTCATTGGAAAAATTCAATCAAGTAGTTTAATTGAAGGTCACATTCTCCGAATTGAGAGTCGTTTTCAAAGAAATAACCTCTAATCACATTTCGCAATCAAAGAGCGCACCAAACGGAAAGTTTGTTTGTGTGATGGTCTCTCTTCGATTAATTGCGGATTTCCGGAGTATCAAGTGGGCTTATTTACGTATCTCCCGAGTGGCAAATACGCTGAAGAAAATTTAGTTTTGAAAAGTCGCCGTCAAGTACCCAATCGACGTGCGTACAAAGTTGTGTATGGCTGGCTTCTTTAGCTGTGTTAACTTGACTTTATCAGGATTTATGTGTACACCGTATTGCGTAATAAGACAGTCTCCCACCTCTGCGTTGAGTCTTCTGCACTGGCCTGACATTATCTGTAACAGATCCAGTATCTTCAATTTTTTTTTTTAATTTACAAATTGCTTGAGTCGTTGTACACTCCTCTGGTTACGTTTGCTTCAATATTTTCGTAGAAGGTTTCCTTTACTTTAATATTTGTTTTTCTTATGATATTATTTTTTTATTTCCATCATTGCATATCATTTTATTATATTTTATTAAATTTTATTTTATTTATTTTTAACGAATTTAATATAATTTATTTTTGTTTATATTACATTAATTTTGTATTACTTTATTTTATTTAATTTTTTTTAATTTTTTTTTTATTTTATTTTATTTTATTTTATTTTATTTTATTTATTTTATTTATTTTATTTTATTTTATATTATTTTATTTTATTTTATTTTATTGTATGTTTTTTATTTTTTTTTTTTGGTGTTCATATACACTATTTCTTCTATTTTCTCAACTTTTTTTCTTAATATATATTAATTTTATTTGTTTTTACTTTTTTAAACAATTTAATTTTATTGAAGCTAAATAATAAACACTCACCTTAACGATACCAATTACGATGTGCTCCAGCCCAGGCCTCTCTGAGTAGTAGTGTAGCAGTAGAGAGCCATTTTTTTCGGTACAACGGAAGGAAGGTGCTCTCATACCTGGATAAAGGGTACCCAAGTGATCGTGCAGTGCATCCAAGTTCTACAGCAAAATGCGAAAGAAAAGTAAATATTTTTATACGTGTGAATATATTATTTGTAAATATGTCTGCGCCACATAAAATGTTGACAAATACATATATAAAAGAAGAGAATGTAATAAAATAATAAGTGGACAGTTGAAGTGAAATTGCAGTAAAATTCAATTTAAATTTCCATTACGGTAAATAACAACAGAATCGAATGAATGGCAGCGATAAGGCGACGTGAGACCTCCGTGAATATCTGCTAGAGCGTCTACTTAACGAAAGGATGGATGCGTTGACAAAATGACAGAGAATGATGGAAATGGTGTGACAGGATTGGTTTTGAGGCATTTGTTGCAGGAAATATTATATACAACAGTTGCTTGTCTATGAGCTATGGAGGAAGCAACTCTTTGTGGTATTTGTAGTAACAGCAAGTGTTTATTGCGGATAATAAATTAAATATACAGTGGTGAATATCCACAGAGAAGACAGGGAACAACGAACTATGAATATTATGAATAAATATTATCGTAGAAGAAGTTTATATAATCTACATGAGCAGGTATTTAAATTCATTTGCATACTTATGTATTTAAATAGTCGATTTAAAGTGCAAATTATCTAATAATTTCAAAGCAGAAATTAGAAAAATTGCTTATATACTACGCCTTTTATGGCAACCCAAATTTTGAATGGACTTTTCCATGTCGTCAGAAATAAACAATCAACTCAGTATGGTGATTATAATCTTTTTCCATTTTAGTGCTGTGGAGAGAAAAGGAGGATTTAGCGGCGAAAGATGTGGAATAATTATAGAAATTGATAAATTTTATTCCGAAAATAGGATTCACCACAAAATTTGATATTTCAAACTAGACCTTAACTAGAATTAAAAGCGAAAAGACCACTCGAATAAGTCGGTCCATAGTACACTTCCTGGAGTAAAGTGCCAACTATGTGCAGAAGTTTTAAGTAAATCAAACCAAAAAAGGATTTTTTCAAGAAGGTTCTCTGGTCCAGATCCATGCAAACCCCTCCAGGAACCATGAAATATTCTGACAAAATTTTAGTGTATATACCGGGTTGTTTCGAAGATCACTGGAAACAAATATACAAACAAATGATACGATTCCAGATACCAAAGCCAGAAATGAATCAACCGATTCCTGTCGCGATCAAGTAAGTTTTGTTAAAATGAGTAAGGAAGCGGTATACATTTGTAGATAAAAGAAAGAGGAGGTCGAGTACCAGAAGCTTGTGAAATATCTCGAGATAGAAAAATGTCGATTTTGTGACATATCGGGCGAATAAGGCAGTTGTCGCAACATGGCGATCCTTTTAGTGGTCAAATACTGGGACACACTGAGGGCGGGCGGTGTGGCACATCGCGCTGTCGTGATGAAGGATTCAGTTACGAGCGAAGTCTGGGCGCACGCTGTTAACTCTTTTTCGCAATCTTTCGAGTACTTAGCGGTAGTATACTTGATGCCGGGAGAAAAGAAAATTATCAATTATCATACGACCATAAAGCTTTGAATTGACAGTGACAGTCTCTCCGTTGTCGTTTTCAAAGAAGGAGAGTTCAATCTCACCAAAAAAGTGGGGTATAATGATCTCTCTTCGATTATTTGATGATGAGACCAAACTGCGAAAATTTTGCGTATTTATATCTCCCGAGTAAGAAATGTGCAACACCGCTGAAGAAGTTATAAAGTTATTAAGACATTTTCATAAATGGCTGCTCATTAAGTGAAAGAGAACATGTTTTGTTCGAAAGATAAATTGGACAGATGTACTTTTAAAACCAAAAAATGTGTTGTTCTTTAAATATTAAACTTTACGGAAAGACAAGATTAATCGATTTAGCTGTGTTTCCTATCTGTTCGGCCATCCATCTTGGTATACCATAACTCCAGTACAGTCTGACATATTTTAATTAATGATGGTTCACACATCCCATGGGTCACATGTATGGAATAATGGTTGAAATCGTATGAAATAGTCACCCACGTAATTTTGAAAAGAACGAAAAGCCAGATGGTTCATTAATTAAATACACAATCTATGTTTTATACTGTATAACTTCCCACACTTCACTTTTTGTTATACACAATTCATTTATCAGGTGTACAACTTTGCTTCCGCCGTTTTCCGATAGGTGGCTGTACCGGCTGAGGCTGGTTGAAATACATAGATGGTAATGCCTTTAAAGTGCGTGTGGACAGTGGCTAACGAATTGTCATCGCCGTTTTAGTGACAATTGTTGTTGTTTTCGTATTATTCACGCTCGAAAATGTCCGTTTATCTGCCTAATTCTCGCCATTTGCGGGAAGTTTTACTTTTCTGTTACAATTCGAAAAAATGCAGCTGAAGCGCATCGAGTGCTCTCAGAAACTTACGGTGATGCTGATCTGAGTGAAAGAACGTGTCGGGAGTGGTTTCATCGTTTTAAAAATGGAGATTTCGATGTCGAAGACAAAGCTCGGTGTGATTTACTACGAGCTCTTAAAACTGGGTGAAACCATCACAGGAGATCGCTACCGAACGCAACTGATGCGCTTTAGTCGCGCGCTAAAAGAAAAGCGGTCAAAATATCAAAAGCGACATGACAAAATCATCCTCCAACACGACAATGCTCGGCCTCATGTCGCAAAAGTGGTCAAAAAGTACCTGGAAACGTTGAAATGGGAAGTCTTGCCCCACCCGCCATATTCCCCAGATGTCGCCCCTTCTGACTTCCACATATTCCGTTCGATGGCACACGGCCTGGCAGATCCACATTTTCAATCCTTCGAAGAATTGGAAAAATGGATTGCTTCATGGATAGCGTCAAAAGAGGACTCCTTTTTTTGAGCCGGAATCCGAAAACTGCCGCAAAGATGGGAGAAAGTTGTCGCTAACGAGAGTACTTTGAATAATATATCTGTAAGCATTTTTTCGCAATAAAGCTTTTAATTTCGGGAAAAAACGGCGGAAGCAAAGTTGTGCACTTGATATTTACCGGATCTGCTATAATATGAGCCTAACAGTAGTGTTGAAAACTAAATTACAAACATGATGGCTCAAGTTTTGTAACTCTGAGCCCTTTTCAAACTACGGCGCCCTCCTGAGAAGGTGGGAACATCGCTTCGCTGTAAGCGGAAAATTCTTGATGGGTTGCATAAAGCATTAGCTAGCGGATTTGGATGATTTCTTAGCTTTGTGAAATACCGGAAATGTTTATATCATTTAAGCGATTTGCAGGACATGATTGCGGTCTTAAAGTAAATGTAATGTGTTTACACTTTTGTTCATTAACTTTAATTCTCCAATTCTCTAGCCATTCTTCGATGAGGAGTAAATGATCACTAATCGTTTTTACTGCTTTTTAGGGTATTTATACCGGCATAAAATAGCTGTGTCATTAGCAAAGGTAGATGCCTGCACTTTTCGGTTTAATGGGAGGTCTGCAATGTATATGATATATAAAATAGGCTCAAGGACTCTACCCTGCGAAACACTAGCTTCTACCAGATACTCCATGCTGCTAAATTCGGATTGTTTAATGTTAAACAGTCTGTTAGTCAAATATGACTTAAGTATCATATAAAATTAAACAGGCACAGCTTTATGTATTTTGTACAGACTTTGTCGAGCGCTTGTGCTATGCGAAGAAAGATTGCACGGCAGTACTCCTCGAGCTCGATTGCCTTGCTGATTTTAGTAGTTATTCGGTTAACTTGATTCGAAATCGATTAATTAAGGTAGTAATCAGCAGAACGGTTGCAAGGTTGGATGGTATGCAACTTCTAATGGGAACTAAAGCCTCAACAAAAATTGTTGACGTAGATGCAGAAACAGTTCGCCCTTCCATACATTTTGGGGTGATTTGTAGGTATAATATTCTTTAATGTATCTATCGTGCGCTTCTACTAGAGTTTAGCTTTGCTAGTAAACCGACGTGGGCTAATTACGAGCTGATGCTTAACACTGGATATTCGTTAAGGGCAACGACTAAATTATGTTTTTTTTTTTTAAATTTGCCGTTCGATAGTACTCCAAAAAAAAAGCGATGAATAGAAAATTCTACTTTATTTTAGATACTCGTATTTCACTTTTTTTTCAAAATACTTAAAGCACGTCTCTGTTTCGTTTCAATAACTTCCCCAAATACTTAATCAACTTACAAACCAACCCAATTCTTGAACGATAACCAGAAACCAGCAAATTAAATTAATGACCTGCCACAATGTGTACGCTACCAAAGAAACTGAAACAACAAACAAACGAAGAATAATAGGACAACTGATAAAAATTGTTGCTATTCGCTTTTTTACTCACCTGGAGAAAATCACGCGGTGTGGCGCCAAGCACTTGCAGAATTTTATCGTAACCTGAATCTTGACAAAACTCGAAAAAGGTTTTGCCAAAAAGTTCTAATATATCATCCGCTGGTATATCTGTAGGAAGACAAAGAGCAGAACAGATAGAATGAAGATAATCAAATAAAGCAGAAAATTTCCACAGAATAATAGAAAAAATATAATACATAAATGGCGACATTCTCTGTTGATGTGAAAGCAGTGAGTTTTAATGTGCGAATTGTGAATGTCCTTATTATATGTACATATGTATGTATGTCTCTCGTGATGGTATATGTAGCTTATGTAATTATACTAACATTAAATTTGCAAGCATTTTCACACACAATACACACAAATGCACTTATGTTTCATGGCGGCTTATACTCACTTAAAATTTCCACCGCAGCGCCAATAAGATTGTAGGTGATTTCATCATCATATGTTTGTCGTACCAAAAATTGACCTTCCATGCTGACCATCGCCTTTTTCCTGCGAAAATATGAAAAAAGAATGAAGAAAATATTTACTAAAGAGCGCATGATAGAGGAAATTCCAAAATGAAAGTGAGATAAAAATAAATTTTAATTAAATCGCGTTTGTCTGCTGTCTTCTGCGACGCCACCAACAACACTGCATGCGAGTATAAGCGTCGTACATTGTAAGGATATCCTTGTATCATTATGTGGATTGAGGCATATGTGCGTACATATGTTTGTACGTGTAAATTTATGTATACACATATGTATGTATGTGTAACACGTGCTATTTTAATATGGTTTAAGCACTTACCAAAGGGTTAATTAAGTTTTTTTGTTTCTTGTTGTTCTTGTTTTGCTTTATGAAAAGTTTTACAAGTGAAATGAGTGTGTGGGGGCTTGATTAAGTAATTATCCGATTCGTAGTCGGTTAATTCAGTGTATGAACTTCTAAATTTGGTGTTAAGTGAATTGCTTCAAAGAAAATAAATCTCAGGGTAGTTTTATTGCTTCATCCCTTAATGGTTTTTGTTGAAACAATTTATTTTATAATTATATTTTTTTCATATTGACATAATTCGCCCAGGAATGAGTGATCCCATAAAGAAACATAACATTTTACTTAAGCCTTGCTAACTGCCTTATCTATATCTTTATATAAAAAATGCTTAGACCACTTAAAGAACAACGAAACGGCTGGAGCTAACGGCCTGCTGGCAGAGCTATTCAAACATGGCGGTGAAGAGGTGTCAAGGTACATGGATCAGCTATTTTGCAGAATATGGTCGGACGAAAGCATGTCCGACGATTGACACTTAAGTTTGCTCTGCCCAATACACCAAAAGGGCGATTCCAAAGTTTAAACCAATTACCGTAGGATACGCCTCCTTAATATTGCATATAAAGGTGCTATGGAGCGTTTTGTGTGAAAGACTAAAGTCCACCGTCAACAAACTGATTTGACCTTATCAGTGAGGCTTCAGACCTGGTAAGTCAATCGTTGACCAGATATTTACCATGTGCTAAATTTTGGAGAAGACCCGCGGTAAAATCATCGAGACGCACCATCATTTCGTCGACATAAAAACAGCCTTCGACGGTTTGTAAAGAAGCTGCCTCTACGCCGCTAGGTCTTAATTTGGTACCTTCGTAAATATGTTAATCTTATACGGCTGTGAAAACTCACGGTGGATAACACAAGAAACGCAGACAGAATGAGAAGGACCTCTCCGAGCCATACGATACCAATCCAGACTTCAGTTAAAGTGACTCCTTATCGTGTGGCCTCTTTAATTTATTGATAGAGAGAATATTACGAGCAGCAGAGCTGAAGAGACAGGTACAATCTTTTATAAGATTGTACAACTATTGGCACGTGCCGCTGATATTTGCATTATTGTCCTCAACAACCGTGCCTTGAGTTCTGCTTTCTCCAGACTTGATAAAAAAGCGAAGCGAATGAGTTTGGTAGTGAACAAGGGCAAGACGAAATATCTGCAGTCAACAAACAAACAGTCATCGCCTTCGCTACTCGGCTCCCACCTCACTGTTGACAGTCATAACTTTGAAGTCGGGGATAACCTCTATATTCTATCTATCTTTGAACCAGTATTAACACCAACTACAATGCGAGCTTTGAAATCCAACACAGAATCACTGTTGTCAACAGGTGATACTTTGAACTGAGTGGGAACTAGGAAGTAAAGTCCTCTCCCGATTAATATATATATCACGCTGGGGCGTGGACATGTTAACATATGATGAGCCGGCCTTGGGAGTCTTCGAGCGTAAAGTTCTGCGAACGATTTATGGTCGTTTGCGCAAAAAGGAGTAATGAATGGTGCGCTATAATTGATTCGGTTATACTCGCGCAAGTGGTGCTAGATCCAATGGATAAGAAGAATAAGTCCTTATTGACTGACGGATTAACCTACAGCCCAAGCTACTGATCGTAGAGACCTCCAAATTGGAGAATATGTGTTGTTTATTTACGTCATACGATAAGAAAGGATTTTCCGAGAAGTAGACCTGGGACCTGGAAGCAACAAGTTTATTTTTACCATGAACTTTGGTAGTCTTCCGGGAATCGGGTCTGGGATCAATCTATACAAACAAAATACTATTGTGGGCAGTTGGGATATAAAATACTGAGCAAAAAAGGTGTCAAATTAACAAAGACAAAATACTTTCAAGTATAGAAACAGGGTTTGGAGATATCTTTCTGGTTTTATGAGTCACGGGTTAACTCTAGTGTGACTATATAAGCAAAGAACTCCGATTTTCTGAAAGCTGAGAGCTGTCCGGGATCGCCTTCAGTTCCTCTGCGAATATTTTTTTACGGCCTCAATCGAGTCTAAACAGGTTCCACGGAGTGGTAACTTCAGTTTTGGAAACAAAGAGCCAAATCTGGTGAACGAGATTTTTGTTCTTGAATCGTTCATAACTACAGCTCGGTGTGATGGCGTATTATCGTCACGAAAAGTTCATGAATTGCTGGAGTACGATTTCGGCCATTCAAGACGGATGCTTTCGCGAAAATACCTCAAAAGGCTCAATCAATACTCTTTATTGACAGTCTGACCCGTTGGAACGAGCTCATGATGAACCAAACCGCGAATATCGAAAAAGAAACACTATTTCCGGAAATGTTCTGGTCTTAATGTATGTTCTCTTGATTCAAAAATGGCTCGTTTATTCCCATCTTAGTCAGCTAAGTTTGCATAGATTGGACTGTGAGTCAGAAACTCATTTAAGCGGTAGTATTTAATGTTGGGTCATAGTCTTTTGAAATTTCCAAGCGACTAATGATGAACCCTCATATTTAATTGTCGCTTTGAAATCTTTTAAGAGATTCTCGGCGGAGTTTCTCGTTAATTCTTCTAATAAATAGGAGGACTTATACATTTTTCCACCTCCGAATGGTTGATGAACTTCAATGAGAAGTTCTTTGTTTCATCTCAGGAATACGCATGGAATATAGCTGACTGTGTAACCACTAGAAAACACAAGTGTTTCTCCTGGAAATGGACGAAGCACCAGGGACCAAGACCGATTTTTTAATTAGAAATTAGACTTTCCCGTTTAGCTGGCATTCTGATTCTTTGATCCCATACATTTGTTGGGTCAAAGTCAACATTGGCATTTTCGGCATATATGAGATTATATTATAATTGTGGTTCTGATAATTTCAATTTCTTCGTCAGTGGTTGAAATCCTTCTCGTCATTATTTGAACTAGATTAAGGATTTAATGGAATATCTTCTTCAGTGTGTTCTTCGATACAATGGTATTTGCTGGGTTTTCAGTTCCCTTAACCTTGTTCGTCCGTTTCTTGGAAAATCTGTGTAAAATCCGCATCACTTACATCAGATTCATCGAAACACGAATGAAATGGACCGAATGACAATATGCAACGGTATCCACTCGTCTGTTGCGGTTGTTGTAAATATTAATTCATTTAAATTTTATTTAAGTGAAGATCCTGAGCCGGTATAACCAAACCCAGAAGGCACGGGTATGAACATGAATTCGAAAACTCTCAAGCTTGTGCGCAGTGAATACATAAATAAAACTACATTGGCATTAACAAGCACCACAGCAATGAATAACGGTGTAAAAAGTTGTATAATACTGTTTTGTAAATTCGTAGAAATGTATTTAAAAGTAAGTCTCAACTGCAACGCGTGCAATCGCTTGGAAATTTTCTTGTAAATGTGAGACTGCAACATTTTTGCCATTCACTCCACCTCACACCCTACAAACATACATAACTGAGTATTAATGAAAGAAAAGGAATTCTTAATGAGTATGAAATTTTAATGAATTTCACAAACTCACTGTCGAGCAGTAGAGACTGCGGTAAGATAAAGAAAAAGCTTCTCGGAAGTAAGTGACCAACATGTGTGTGGCTTTGGTTTCTTGCTCTCATCCTCGGTTTGCTGGTTTGTGTAGTTGATGGGGAAGTTTGCGTAAGATTTTAGCTGCCAAAAATGAAAAATCATGTCCTTAAAAGTTTTGCAATTATACAATTCATCATCATCCATTGTATTGGGAGCAGTTTTTTTTTAATATATATATATGTATGTGTACAAAATATCCGTGAATAATGAAATCGAATCGTGGAAGTACATGTGTGCATGGCGAGTGTATGAAAAAAATTTAAACGATAGCTTGCAATTAATGACGGTGCTTGTTGTTAATGAAAGAAATTTTAAAATTAATCAATCAAGAAGTTTCTCTGACGAAATATTTCTTTAGACGCGCGAGGAATGGAACACAGATTGCTTCCTCTCTCTCTTTTTCAGGACCTTTTCTTGTTTATATCTTTACAAAATCCTACTGTCACCACCCACCTCCGGCATATATTGGTTTAGTGGTAACTGAACTTGGTCAGCTTACCTCACTTTACCAATCTCTTCAAGTTGATAGCAGACGATGAACATTAAGAACTGTTTGTGCACGTTGATTCGAGCTACTGATTTATATATATATAAATATAATTTTTGTTACCGCTGAAGCGATTTTTGGCCGAACTCTTCCTCCAATTTGTGGTTTTGCGTCTTGGTGTTTTTCCAACAATTGGAGGGACCTACAGTTTATACTAAGCCGCCTCCGAACGGCTGATGGGTTTTTACGAGGAGCTTTTAATTCGTGTCCGAAATACACTCGGAGGGGTTTATATTCCCTGCCGAGTAGCGACAGCAATTAGAAAATTTAAATTAACTTAGATTTACATTTGAATGTTGGCGGCACCGGGATTTGAACAATAGTCTTCCGAATGGCAGTACGCAATGGTAACCACTCGGCTACCGCGGCCGCCGACATACTCACATATAATATACGACAGATTTGGAGTGGTGAAATATGTGGATGGGTCAGTGATAAGCTATTACCATAGAATTTATTCTACTCGGGTAGATTATTGTCCAATAGCGTCCCTGAGTTATTATACCCATTGCTTTCTTGTTGTAAGTTCCGCTGGTTGGCCTTCTAAATCCTTTTAAAGTAGGCCTG